CGGCGTCCCTGGGGGTGCGGGGCCGCGGTGCGCAGGCGCGAGCGCGCGGCCGGCGTGGTCCCCATGGAGCTGCCGTAGCGGAGCCGGGGCCGCGGCAGCGTCCGGGATGAGCGCGGAGGAGGCCGACCGCGGGGCGTGGCTGCTGGTGCTCAGCTTCGTGTTCGGCTGCAACGTCCTCAGGATTCTCCTCCCGTCCCTGTCCTCCTTCGTAAGTGCCGGCCTGGCCTTCCCGGGGCCGCCGCCCCGGCCCCCGCGCGCCCGGCGGGGTCTCAGGCTCGCCGGGCGGGGCGCGCATGGCCCGGGCCTCGCGCGGGGCGGACCCGGCTTTCGGGGTCTCAGCGCTGCGCGCCGGCTGTCGCGGGCTGCAGGGCGCCCCCCGGCCCGGGTGTCTGCGTTCTCGGGGCGGGGCGCGGCCTCGGCCCGGGCTCGGCGGCTGGTGCGGGCCCGGCGCTGCCCGGCGGCCTCGGCCTCGCTCGCGGGCGGGCCGGGTCCCGGAGCAGGAGCCCGCGCGCAGGAGCCGCAGCGGGGCGGGGAGGCCCGGAGCCGAGCGCGCCGCGCCTGGGGCCTCGCGGGCGGGAGGGCGGATGCCCGCCTCGGGGCTCTCCGACGCTGCACGAGCAGGGGCTTGGCGGCCCCTTGGGTGGTCGTGGGGTGTGTGCGGGGAAGTGTGGGGCGCCGAGCCCGTGCAAAGGGCGCCCTCTGTCGCCCCCTGTGGGAGCGAGCGGCTGACCCCGGCTGACGCCTGGTAAGACGGGGTGCGCTCTTCCCAGCAGCATCCGGTAAGACGGGGTGCGCTCTTCCTAGCATCGTCCGGTAAGACGGGGTGCGCTCTTCCTACCATCATCCCCCGAAACTCAGTGGTCCCTGATTTTCTCTCCGCATAGAAATTGGTACTTAAGAGTAGCAGGAGCCCTGCCTCTCCCTGTTGTGTTTTCCCAGTGCTAGCTGAGTGCACGAAGCTCTGACCCGGGCCTGCCTACCGCGTTCCTGACAGGGATTTCTCTCTTAAGCCCTGGCATTCGGAGTCTTTCCCCAGCCGCCTGGTTCTTAGGATGATGGCACGAGCCCTTAGCATTGCATAAAAGGCCCTTGAAGAGCTGGCCCCTGCCCATCTCATGCCTTTAAATTTTTTTGGGGTAAAATATGTTTAAAATCTACTACTGAAACCTTTTTTAGGTGTACAGTGCACTGGCATTAAGTCCACTCACATTGCTGTCCAGTGCCATCACCTAACTCCAGAACTGTCTCATCCTCCTAAGCGGAAACTCTACTCATTAAACCCTGAGTCCACGTTCCCCTTCCCTGGAAACCAGCCAAGGGAAATCATGCGATATTTGTCCTTTCATGTCTGGTTTACTTCACTCAGCGTATTGTCTTTCTGGCCTGTCCTTGTGAGGGTGAGCGCTGCGCCATTGTCTTGCAGACCACCTCTTGTTTGCCTGTTCACTTTTTTGGGTGGGTATTTGGGTTGTTTCCATCTTTTGACTTTTGTGGACAGGCTAGAACATTGATGTACAAATAACTACTTGAGTCTCTGTTTTTAATCTTTTGGGTGATTCTTAGAAGTGGAGTCGCTGGGTCATATTGGCAAATCTACATCTGCTTTTTCTGAGACACCGTCCTGTTTTCCACAGTGGCTGCACCATTTTACATTCTCACCTGCAGTACAATGGGGTTGTTATTGCTCCACATTCTTCAACACTTGTCTTTTTTTCTTTTTTGGTGATAAGAATCTTCCTGATAGGTGTGCAGAGGTGTGTTTTTTCTTTTTAAAGATTTATTTTATTTATACAAGAACCAGGGTACAGGCCAGATGCGCAGGAGGATGAGAGGATTCACTAGAGACAGCGGGGAACAGAACAGGCAGACTGACTGCAATCCACTGCTGAGGGGAGCAGCGGGGAAAGAGGAGAGGTCTTCCGCGCCATGTGGGACCCTCGCTGGCTGGCTGATTGAACTGGTGCTGCAGAGGCTGCGGACAGCTTCACAGCACTGCGCTCAACCGCCTGCACCACTAGGGAAGGCTCCACCCGGTGGTTTTGATGCTCATCTTCCTGATTAGTGATGTTGAACATCATTTCATGTGCTTATTGGCCACCAGTTTATTTTTTTTTAAGATTTATTTATTTATACAAGAGCTGGGGTGCAGGCAACAGGCGCGGGAGGGTGAGAGAATTCACCAGAGACAGCAGGGAACAGAACAGGCAGACAGAGGAAATACACTGCTGAGGGGAGCAGCGGGAGACAGGGGAGGTCTGTGCGCCATGTGGGAGTGTGCGTGTCCATCTCCCTGGACAGCTGGGAATCGAACCAGGTCTGCAGAGGCTGCGGACAGCTTCACAGCGCTGCGCCACCGCCACCGGAGAGGCCCTGTCTATCTTCTTCGAAAAGTGTCTCTTGAGTTCTTGGTCCTTTTTATTTTTTTTTTATTTTTTTTTTTTTAAAGATTTATTTATTGATTGATTGATACATACAAGCACTGGGTACAGTCAGAAGCGCGGGAGGGAGAGAGAATTCACCAGAGCCAGAGCGGGGAGCAGAGCAGGCAGAAGGACCGAGGTACACTGCTGAGGGGAGCAGCGGGCGGCAGGAGAGGTCTGCGCGCCATGCGGGACCCTCCTCCCGAGTCCAGGGAGCAGCCGGGGATTGAACCGGCGCTGCAGAGACTGCCGGCAGCTTCCCAACCCAGCGCTCAACCGCTGCGCCACCGGGGAGGCCCTCTTGGTCCTTTTTAAATAGGGCGCCAGGAGCTGTCCCCAGGGCTAGGGTGCCCTCTGCAGGCTCACAGTGGGAGGAGGGGCTGCTTTTTGGTGTAGACGTGGGAGTTCTGTGTTCTGTGTGTTAACGCGTTCCCGAAAGGATGGTTGTAAATATTTCTCGACTCTGAGCTGCTCGTCCTCGCAGTTTCTCCTGCATTCTAGTACGAATCCAGCTCCCTCCCCTCATGCTGGGCCCATGCACAGCTGATCTCCTGGCTCCTAGCGGCTGGGTGGGTTTTCATTCCTCTACAATAGTTCCTGGTTTCTTACAGGGGGGAGGCGTCTGTTGGGGGATGGCAGTGACTGTAGCCAAACTGCCCCCACCTTAGGCTCCCCCCGCCAGGCAACCCTGGCTCCCCTGGCGCGTGCCTTGTGCCGCGCGGGCGGTTGTCGGGCCTGCGCGCGTCCTGTGCTGCTCCCGCGGGCTGTGTCTCCAACCTCTCGCCTCAAGCCGGGTCTGCACCGGTTTCCTGGGGTTGCCGCTGTTTGTCAGGGCTGTGGGCCGGGTGCGAAGGGCGGACAGGGAGTGGCTGAGTCCAGCCCGTGGCTGGCGGTCGGCCCGAGGGGGTCGCGGGCGCCTGTCCACGAGGGCGTCTGCGGCCGGTGCCCCGTGCGAGGGAGCGCCCCCCAGCCCCGCAGGCCGAGCCCTCTCGAGGCCCCCCCCCCCGCCCCCCCACCAGCCAGAAGCTTGGCGGGGCCGGCCGGGCCGGGCGGGGCCGCCTGGGGTCGGACAAGGCTGCAGACCCGGGGTCGGCAGGGTGGCGTGTCCCTGAGGGTCTCCTTTCCCGTTCACGCTGGTCGAGGATGGTGTGTGAAAGCGCCTGTTGGCGATCAGCACTTCCAACCTGGAGGCGGAGAGGAGGCGGGGTACACGGACACCCCGCTCCGCGCTGCGCAGGGGCTCACTGCGCAGGCGCCGCAGTCCTGGGGTGGCCGTGGGTACTGCGCAGGCGCGGGGCGGCGCGGCGGGGGGGGGGGGGCTGAGGGGCGCCGGCGGCCCCGTGTACTGCGCAGGCGCCCTCGCTGGCGGGGCGGGGCGGGGGGCGGGACGGAGGCCACGCGAGCCCTGCGCACTGCTCACTGCGCAGGCGCCCTGACTGGCGGGACGTGGGTGGGGCACCCCGTGTTTGGTCATCGCTGCCCGGGGCCCTTCCTCACGGAGTCCCCACCGCACCCTCGGCTTCCGTTGGGGCCTGACTGCCCCTCCCGAACCTCTTTGAGGGCTGACCGCCACGTCTGCTTGAAGCCCACAAGCTCCTCCCTCCCCGGGCGCCCCCCTCCTCTGGGCGCCCCCCTCCCCTGAGCACCCCCCTCCCCCGGGCGCCCCCCTCCCAAGGCGCCCCCCCCCCCCGGGCCCTGGCGTGCGTCGAGGTCCCCCCCCCCCCGAGTGGTCCTTTAGGTGGTGGCCAGGGGTCGTGGGGCCCCCACGAGTTTGGGGGGCCGGTGCTCGGGCCGGCCGGGCGGGACCTGCCGCGCTGGCGCGGTGCGCGGGGCTGCCGGGCCGCCCTCGGCAGGGCCTCGGCTCTTTGCCGGGACCCGGAGCCCCCCAACCCCGCTCACCCCCCGGCCGCACGGGCGGCCAAGCCCTGGCCAGTGGCCGAGGGGGGTCGGGCCGCGCCCAAGCCCTTGAGGCCCCTGGCACGGGCGAGGACCGGCGGGCGGGACAGGAGCGTGCTCTGGGCGACCCCGGGCCCCGCCTGCGTTGTTGGGGGGTGGGGGGTGTCTGTGCGGACTCCAGGGCTGGGTTTTTTAGAACAGAGTGAAAGGTTCGGCGCGGTAAAGACAAGGAGAGCCAGGCTACAGTTCTCAAAGGGAGGGAAAGTTTGTTGTGCCCCGGGCGGACCTCAGGGACCCAAGGCGGGGGTCAGAGGAGTCGCGCACGTTGTTAGGGGGAAGCAGGGTTTTATAGGGCGAGGAGAGGTCAGGTGGGTAGTTGGGCTCGTAGGGCGGGAAAAGTTCGTAGGGCAGGTAGAGGTTCTTTGTCTGAGATGAGACTCGTAGGGGGAGGGGGGAGGCTCATTGTCTGAGTCCTCCAGGCAGGTATCCGCATTCCTGCCCCCCAGGTGGGCTTCCTGGTTGGCTCCTGCATTCCGGCCTCCTGCATGGACCTTTCACAGAGGAGTTGACTTTATTGGCGGAGGAGCAAGGAGGGTGGACCTGACCAGAGTCCATCCGTCGGGGGGGGGGGGGGGGGGGGGGGGGGCGCTGCCGCTGGTGGCCGTCTCGGGGCTGTGGGCCCGCCTGTGCCCGCCTGTGCCCGCAGCGCCAGTTTGAACTGGTCTGGTCTCGGGGTCAGGTCTCAGGTTGTAACTCCCTTCTTTTGCAAGGTCTGTAAGTCCTTTATTTTCGCTGCAGCCAACAATTGGTAGAGAGCGTGCGCAGGCACGTGCAGGCTGGGAAAACTGAACAGTAAGAACTGTAGTGGGCGAGGAAACTTTGGCGACTGCTCAGCCGAGTGCGCCTGTGGGAGCAGGAAGTTCTGCTCTGCCCCGGGTCCTGCCTATGTCAGGCCTGTCTGGCGTTGGGACACACCCGAGCGGGGTCTGCTGTGTCCAGGAGGGATGCGCTGAGGCTGCAGGTGTCGCTAGGCCTTGGTTTTCAGGTGCGTCTGGGGCAGAGATGCCAGCGGGTGAGTGGGGTCCCCGTGTGACCTCCGGTTGGGGCCCAGACCTTTTGTCTGTTGGCACATGGAGGGTGGAACTTGGACAGGACCCCAGGCAGCTGCTGGGAGGACCCTTGCGTTCACACAGGCTGGCAGCCCGTCTCTGGGGACGGTGACAGGAAGGGCTTGTTCTGTCCTTGTTCTCTCCAGATTTCCACTGCCCCCATCATCCTGACACACGTCAGAAACTCAGTATCTGCCTCAGTTCTTTGTGGACCCAGTTCCAAGTCCTAGAAAATCTGTGCCCTGCAGAGCGTACCTGTTTCTTCCAGTGAGCGCTTTCATGTCCTGGGAAGTGCTTTTGAGTACACAGGACCTAAAAGATTTATTTTTTATTTTAAAGATTCACCTTCAGAATACACTGAAATTCAAATCTTATCAGATCATACCATTGAATTCGTAACCCTAGCACATGTGATCACTTACAAGGAAGGCGGGCTAATGTTGGCATCTGTTTACACCTCTAAGCATTTTTAAAGTACTTCAAAATGTAACGGATTCTTTTTTTTTGAACACTGCAGTTGTCTGATTTAAGCACAAAACTTCAGTTCCCTTCAGGTTCACTCCCTGCCCTCACCCACGGAGGTCTCTGCAGTTTTTGCTTGTTTTGCGTAGTCTCTAACGCTAAGCATTGTTGTTTTCTTCTTACAATTTAGATTTAAAAGTCAGATGTATTGATGCATAGTTTGCATCTATTGGAATTTGTTACTGTGCAGGTGGACGGCTTGGTGACTTCTGATGCTCAGTAGGGTAACCCCACAACAGGAGACGCAACCCCCACCGCTTCAAAAAGCCCTCATTGCACCTGTGCCTTGTTTTATAAAGTTTAAGCAATATCTGTAAAATCCTTGCTCTTGGAAGGTGATTTCTATGATTTTTAAAGAGAATTGGCCTTGCATTTTCTTCTCCACGGTGGATCTGACTGGGGTGGATGCCCTTCAGTTCGTGTCAGGGGGTGGTCAGGTGTCCGCATAGCCGGCAAAGATGGTGGGGTCAAGGGCTCCTCTTCCCCTCCTGAGGCCTGCAGCTTGTGCCACTGTGCTGCCCCCCCCTCCCAGACCTGTGCCACTCTCACTGGCCGCCCCCTATTCCCCCACACCAGCTTGCGCAGACCTGTGGCTCAAATGCCTGTCCCCTTTGGCCTTTCTTATTACTCTATTAAAATATTTTAAGTGTGCGGAAGAGTTGTGCATACAGCACAGGGAACTAGCCATTTGGAGGTGTGTTGTTGGCCTGAGCCCCTGGTCACTGGGCTGGTGTGTCTGCAGCAGCTGGTCGCTGCCCAGCACCAGCCTCTCTCCCGTTGGGTTGCTTCCTCCCGACCACGGCTTCGGGGCATCCTGCTCCCGCAGCTTGCTCTGTCCACTTAATGTAGGACTGAATTCTTCAGGGAGGAAGGAGGGCGTGTGGCCCTTGGCACCCGAAAGACGGCTCTGGGGGCTGGGTGGGTTTTCATGTTGTCAGCAGTGTTACACTTCTAGGAAAGAGGCATACAGCTGTGCCAGCACACACAGGCAAAAAGAAAAGCATAATTGAATAGCATGACTCAGATCGCAGGGTGTTTTTGTTTTGTGGTGGTTGTAGGACTAGGAGCAGGACAAGGCAGCAGAGCGGCCCGGTGGGCAAAGAGTTGACCAGCTGGAGAGAGGATGGTGGGGGGGGGCGGCGCGGACATGTGCCCAGAGGAGAGGCACTGACCCGCCGGCCCCGCTACCAGATGTCCAGGGTGCTGCAGAAGGACGCCGAGCAGGAGTCGCAGATGCGAGCCGAGATCCAGGACATGAAGCAAGAGCTGTCCACGGTCAACATGATGGACGAATTCGCCAGATACGCCAGGCTGGAAAGGAGGATCAACAAGATGACAGACAAGCTCAAAACTCACGGTACTGCTTTCAGCGGGGGGGGGCGGGGGGGTGAGGAGGGGTGGGGGGGTGGTGGTTTGGGGGTGAGGAGGGGCGGGGTGGTGGGGGTGCGTGAGCGCTGGTTAACGAATGAGGCTTTATGTGCAGGTGAGTAGAGTGTGTCCTTTGGTTCTTGGACGTGTCAGATGGGATAGAAACGTTGACGTTGTCTGGAGGAAACCCAGTAATAATTACTCCTTTCTCCTTAGCGGGTGGATCTTCGCTTTCTAAACACAGAAACATGTAGCGTCCTCTTAGGTGTCTTTCAGAGCTGTGTTGTTACGGCTGGTCGTCATTTTCATATTCGACAGTCTTCTGAGAGAACCTCATAGTGGGCTCCCGGGGGCTTTTGTTCTGGTCTTGAGAAAAGGTCCCGCACTGACCTTAAGGGTTTCCCGGAGAGGCCAGGCCTCATCCACCCTCACCTCTGCCGCCGCGCCTCCCAGGCTCCGTGGTGGAGAGCACGTCTCTGGATGTGCTTCCAGAGCAGTGAGGAGCAATGCCCGAGTGCTCTGTGGTAGGGGAAATCAGGGAAGAAACTTTCGTCCTGTTAGCAAGTGCTCTATAAAAATCTGATTTTTTTTTTTTAAGATAGTAGATTTTATTTTTTATTTTTTTTTTTAAAGATTTATTTATTTTTGCATACAAGAGCTGGGGTACAGGCCGGAGATGAGGGGGGCGAGAGGATTCACCAGGGACAGAGTGGGGAACAGAACAGGCAGACTGACTGAAGTACACTGCTGAGGGGAGCAGCGGGCGAGACAGGAGAGGTCTGCTGCGCCATGTGGGTTGCTCCCAGGCTGGTCAGCGATCGAACTCATGCTGCAGAGGCTGGGGATTGCTTCATAGTGCAGTGCTTAAACCCTTGCGCCACCAGGGAGGCCCTAAAAATCTGATTTAGATGAATGTTTTTAAGGTTTTCCAAATTAAAACTTCAAATCTTATAATCTTCATGTGGTTTTATTTTAAATAATGGCATAGAAATTCCATTTTAGGGCCTCCCCAGTGGCGCAGCAGTTGAGCGCTGGGTTGCGAAGCTGCCAGCGGCCTCTGCGGCTCTAGTTCGATCCCCGGCTGCTCCCCGGCCACCGGAGGAGGGTCCCACATGGCGTGCAGACCTCTCCTGCTGCCAGCTGCTCCCCTCAGCAGTGGACTTCGGTCCTTCTGCCTGCTCTGCTCCCCGCTCTGGCTCTGGTGAATTCTCTCACCCTCCCGCGCTTCTGACTGTACCCAGTGCTTGTATTAAAAAAAAAAACTATAAAATGAAAAAAAAAAAATTATTAAAAAAAAAAGAGATTCCATTTTATATTTCCTAAGTATATTTAGCAAATATAACAGACATAATCAAAAAATGTTTTAAGGGCCTCCCCGGTGGCGCAGCGGTTGAGCGCTGGGTTGCGAAGCTGCGCGCGGCCTCTGCGGCGCCGGTTCGATCCCCGGCTGCTCCCCGGCCACCGGAGGAGGGTCCCACATGGCGCGCAGACCTCTCCTGCCGCCCGCTGCTCCCCTCAGCAGTGTACTTCGGTCCTTCTGCCTGCTCTGCTCCCCGCTCTGGCTCTGGTGAATTCTCTCGCCCTCCCGCGCTTCTGACTGTACCCAGTGCATGTATAAACAAAACAAACAAAGAAACCAGCAAACAAATAAATAAAGCATGCCTCTATAAAAAAAAAAAAAAAAAAAAAAAAAAATGTTTTAAAAGAGGAAACGATATTTCTGGGACTTGAATATTTTCTTCACAGTCCTTGACTGCTGTAATCACTCCATCCTGTTTCTCCTTTCAGTGAAAGCTCGGACAGCTCAGTTGGCCAAGATCAAATGGGTTGTAAGTGTCACTTTCTACGTACTGCAAGTAAGTGTCCTGTTGTGTCACCTGAGTCACTCAAGTTGATAGTGGACTGTCCTCAGAACCTCACGGAAGCAGGGCTGGGAATTCAGGCTTGCCTGCTTCCAGCTGCGGGTCCTGCCTGCTTGTGGTGGGACAGAGACTTCATAGGAAAGCCTGGATTCTGTCTGAGCTGTGAGATGTTGGGATTGTTGAGCCGTGGATACGGAAGAAGGCCTCTGGGGTTCTTGCTGTGCAGTGTTGGGAGCCTGTGAGGTGAGGTGAGAGCAGCCTCTTTAGATGTGGCATTTCTAAGGTCACTCATGATCTTGTTACGTGGAGTACACAGGTGAGGCTGTCTGCTCTCCAGCTAGGGAGCCCACAGTCTCAGTATAGGCCGATGGCTTCGGTGCCCGACTTCCTCACCTGGGGGGTTTTCGTAGCCTTGTACTCATTGTCGTGGCTGCCTTAAAGGAGCTCGGTTTCAGTGATAGGTGCCATCTTACTGGGGCAAAGGATTCAAGGTTGTAGGTCTTCTTAGAGCCGGGGCCCTCCAGTCGGTCCACTCATTTGGGTGGCGTGTCCATGTCCGTGACGGATGCTGCTCGGGAAGCAGGGAGAGACCCCGCCTCTCCCCACATTTCAGCTAAGAGGGCTTGCCTTTGCACGGGATGGGAGACTTGACAAGTTTTTCAAGACCTGCCACCTCTGTCTCTTAAGATGGAATTTGACAAAGCCTGGTTGCTCGCAGGAGGTACCCCATGAAAAGGGAGCACTGAGTGTGGGTGTCTGGTTGATGGGTCAGCTAATTTAAATAGTGTCATATAATGCTCAGTGAACGGGCTGCTCACAGAAGGCGCCCCCACTTGTCGCCTGTGTGTTTTGGGAATGTTGTGCACCAGCGATCAGTGGCTGGTGTACATGTCTGTTGGTGGCAGGGGCTGGATTGATGGTCTTGAGGTTGTGGATCTGGAGAGTGGCCTGGTCCCCCCGGGTGTTCCTACTGACCGGCAGTGTCTTTGCAGGCCGCCCTGATGGTCTCGCTCATCTGGAAGTATTACTCTGTCCCTGTGGCTGTGGTGCCGAGTAAATGGATAACGCCACTAGACCGCCTGGTAGCATTTCCTACTAGAGTGGCAGGTAAGACTTTTCTAGAAAACACAGTGGAAGAACATGGCTAGCTTGCTTGCGCCGATGTGGCAGGAGGTGGGCTCCCCCATTCACCCTCATTGCCGCTCTCACTAGTGAGCACAGGCCTGGCAGGGAAGAAACCAGTGTCCAGATTCAAGCCCAATACCTGGCGTCCGAGACCCTGTTTATGGAGACACCACTCTGGTTTCCACATTCTGTGACCTCTTTTCAGTTCTTCATATGCTTCATCTCTCCTGGAGCATGTACTGCTCTCGGCCACGCTTTCCTTTTTGAAAGGCAGTTTCTTGTGGATGTCGAGAATAGTGCATGCCATTGCAGAGCGATTAGAAATAGAATTAAAAACTCATTAGCTATGGATAACGCCTCTTAACATTGTGGCATATTTTTTCCAATCTTTTTAATTAATATTATTCAGGTAAGGTCATCTGAATGACGGGTCAGCTAAATACAGTTGTTTACCTCTTCCTACTTTTTAACACAGGCTTTCCCGTGCTGTTAAACTGCTTTACTAAGGAATTTTGAATAATTGTGCTTTGTTTGCCTGTGTCATGACTTACTCACTTCCCCATGAAAGGGCATTTATTTGGTCCTTCTGGACTGGGACTGCAACCCTGGGGCACACGTCCTGCCCTCAGTTGAGATGGACCACTGGGCGCTGCTCTGTGACGCCTCTGGGGGTGAATCACTGGGCTGAAAGGAAGGACTGTTTTGAAGATTTCCAGTTCAGCTCCCTCTCCCTTGCTGCTAGGTCTCGGTGCTGCCAGCGGGGCGGGCATGGGGTACCACTCCTGTGGCCTGTCTGCCTGTGTCTGACATCAGAAGGGCAAACGCAGCTTCCTTTGTCACACTTTTTGAGAGGCAAAGTGGTTTCACGGGGGCCTCACAGTTGCGAATGTCATAAAGACAGGAAGGAGACCCAGATCAGTGCCTGCCGCTCTGAGTGGTCCTGTGAGGAACAGGCAGCAACCCTGAGAACCCGTAGACAGCCCGAACGCGCACTCCCAGAGCATGGCTGTCCTGCGAGGTGTGGGCGGCCCCTTGCACCTGAGAGGCAGGGGGGAGTGCGCAGGACTCGGGGAGCGCTCACACCGACTTTCTTTATTTTCAGGTGGTGTTGGAATTACTTGTTGGATTTTGGTCTGTAACAAAGTCGTGGCTATTGTTCTTCACCCTTTCAGCTGAAAAAGAAGATGCACGCAGCCACGACACTTTAAAAACGGATTTTCACTGGGTTAAAACTTGATTTATACTGTTTCTTTCCTTTTTTTTTTTTTTTTTTAAAGAAACAGTGCATAGGTTCGTTTTGTTTGATTGTGTTTGTTCTTGGACTGTAAGTGAGCTGCTTACAAGAAACACGATCTTGGACACTCGTCATTGAGCCATAAAGGCCAGCCTGTTACGGGTGCTGGCCTGGCACCGGGGGTGTGCCCAGCGGTCACCTGGGTGTCTACAAGGGGCCATTTGTGATTTGCACGGTTGGCATAATTTAAAGTGAAAATTTTCTAATAATTTATTAAAAACAAAACTGTTACTTTTAATCCAGATTAGAAAGGAACTTAATACCACTACTGGAATTTGAACATTTCTTTCTTCCTCTCACACAGTACACTACGCTAATTGACGTTGCTCGTGCTTTGTCTCTCATTTAAATCTGCCAGCAGCGCAGTGCAGCGGGCTGGCTACTTATTTGAAACTGTTAAATTTTCATTACTCTGTTTTGTAATTGTATTCATGAGCCCATAATGCTTTGTTTTGTGCTTGAATTCTTGAATTGTATGTTTTATATTTAAAGCATTTCAAATAAGTGTATTTTATAAACGTTTAATAGTCATGCTCTATAGAAAAGAACAAAGTTAAAAAACACACCGGGAAGCCTGATTAAGTTAACTTAAATGGATGTGTTACCCCTATAGGGTATAATTCTGCTATTTTTTAAAACACTTTTTTCCCCTAATTAAATTCTTTGCAAGTGCTCCCTCCCTCCAGTTCTTTGCTGTGACCGTCACAAATGACCAGTGGCCACCGCAGCGGAGAGCTAAATGTTAAGGCTAGTTTTTGAAAGACCTCGTTCGTCGTCTTGTGCTGCCTAGCGATCTGGTAAGTAGCTCACTGCATTTCTGCTGCTGGTGAAGGGCGGTGTGTACCTCAGCTGATTGTCACTCTGAAGACCCCCAGAGTGGGCTTTGGCTTCCGTGTCACTCAGGCTTCCCCGGCTGGGCCTGCTCGGCCACAGCAAGGACACAGAGCAGGCACGATGGCAGGACTGATAGCAGATGGCCTCGTGGGCCTTGCCACAGCTTCCAGCCTCTCAGTCTCTGCACGGGCTATGGGGACCTCAGGATAAGAAGCCCCCGAGATGACTTTTGCACAAGGAGCTGCGGGGTCTCGGGGCCATAGAAGGCACAGTGTGGCGCCCACGGGTGATGAGTTGTGGGCAGAAGTGGCAGGTTAGCTGGGGAGCCATGGGCGGCCAGGAAGCCTGCCCGTGGGCTGATCAGGGGTCTCCCTGCGAGACCCTCCTAGTCTCCAAGGATGAGCTTTCTGCTGATACTGCAACAATTCTGACACACCTCAAGAGGCCAGGCGGAAAGGAGGCATAGCTCACAGCTGCTGGCTCTTCCCTTGTATGTTTGTAGTCTCTGAAGACCTGAAGTAGGGGTGATTGAAGCATCCATCTTTCTTGTCATTGTGGTTTTTCAAAATCTGTATTTGTTTTTAAATGGGTGATAAACATGGTTCTGAATTCAAAAGACACAGAGAGGGCACAGTGGGAGTGCCTGTTCTGACCCTTGACTCATGTTCTCCAATCTCCAGGCTTCCACTCAGCCAGTCTCTTAACGGTTCCCCCAGTGGTATTCTACACCTCTATGAGCAGTGTGCTTTTAAAATAAAATTATTATAATTTTAGAAGTACTCCCCCCCCCAAAAACAAACAAACACACACACAAATATTGCCTTTTAAAAAAGAAAATTCCACTTGGAAATTACAGAACGTGAGCAAGGAAGCAGACCCCATGAGCCCATAGAACCGGAACTACTGGTATTGACGTCTGTGCTCTCCCCATGTGTGCGTGTGTGTGTGTGTGTGTGTAGCTGTGGATTGTGTGTTTCTATTAAATACTAGTGTGTAGTTTCATATAAAAAGACATCTGTTGGATTTCAAGAACATGTTGAGCTTGCTTTATGCCAGTTTTGTTTGCTTGATCTTTATGGTAAATCATTTAGGGAAATCTGCTTTACCCACAAATCCACAATCATTTTTGCCTGGAGGTGACCCGCCCCTGTGGCGGGCAGGTGGGCAGAACCCTAACCGAACTCCCTTACTCTGTGGAGCTGCAGGCCCTTGGTCCTTGGGTGCGCACAGACCAGCATGTTGACCTTCCCCTTCAACCTGTTTATGTATAACCAGACCTTCGAGATTGTTTCAGGAGTCTTCTCTGACCACCTGGTGTGATAGTCAAGCTCATTATGACTTATTTGTCAACTAATTTTGTGATAGTGTTTTTTTCCCCAGTGATGCTCTAAGTGCCTTGAGGACCAGAGATTATTCTTCGGCTTTTGTATACACCTCCTGGCATTTCTTTTTTTTTTTTTTAAGAGAGATTTATTTATATAAGTACTAGGGTGTAGGCGCGGGAGGGTGAGAGGGTTCACCAGAGACAGAGCGGGGAGCAGAACAAGCAGAAGGACCGAAATATACTGCTGAGGGGAGCAGCGGGCGAGACAAGAGAGGTCTGCTATGCCATGTGGAAATCTCCCTGGCCGGGAATTGAACCGGTGCCTCAGAGGCTGGGGACAGCTCCACAGTGCTGTGTTCAACCCAGTGCGCCACCAGGGAGGCCTACCTTCTGGCAATTCTTAAGTCAGTATGTACTTTCTGAAAAAGTACGCACACATCACTTTCTGGTTTTCTGACAGATAATAGAATTTTCTAGGGTACTGACCTACAAGTGCTTCAGGACAGCGCCCTCACCTTCCCTGGACTCACTGGTCCTGTGTGGACAGGCCAGCTCTCTGTCCGCCTGTTTGCCACCTCCAGTGCATGCGTCCCTCTTCAGTACTGTCTTGAATTCAGTACTGACTTTTGAAGTTCAGTCTTGAATAAATCCTGGGTGGTCAGTATTTTTGTTGTTGCTTGTGCTTTTGGCATCATATCTAAGAATCCATGACCAAATCCAAGGTGATAAGATGCCTTTGATTTGTATTAGCTTTAACTCTTACATTTTGGTCTTCGATCCATTATTGGCTAATTTTTGTGTTTGGTGATGTAAGGGTTCGGCTTTATTCTTTTTTATGTGGATACCTAGTTGTCCAAACACCTTTTGTTGAAGAAACTGTTCCCTGCTGATTGGTCTTGGCGACTTTGTGAAAAGTCACTTTACATTATAGATACCAGGATTTATTTCTGGACTCTCCCTCTGTACCACCCTCTGTCTGTCTCTACATCAGTACCCATGTTTTGATTACTGTTACACAGTAAGTTTTGAAATTTGGCATATTAGTGTAGATCATTTTTTAACAAGATGAATGGAGAATTATAAATAAAGATGACTGGAAAGCAACAGACTTAGATTAAATTTTTATTAAATTCCCTGCAGAAGCGCTTTTAGATAGCTCTGGTTTAATGCTATGATTTGTGCTTTTGTCAGTTGGCAGAAGAGCTCTTGAAATCTATAAAGCAGGGGTAGATGCTGTAGATGCTGTAATAATATCCCATCCAGACACCATTCCCAAGATCTTTTTAGTACAGTTCTCCGGAATTTAAGGCTCAGCAGTCGTCACCAGCACACGTGCCTTTGCATGCCCCCCCCCTTCTTTCTTTTCCCCCAACAGTGGTTTTCATAAAGATTAAAGCCTGTGCCACTTGAATTTACCTCATCTTTGCTTTTAAATAGTTATTTCCCACCATGTCTTTCACTCAATTTTAAAAATAGTGTGCTGGTATGACACACCAACTCCCACACCGTTGGCAGTAGTATGGTTCAGATTATAAACAAGTTGCCCCTGTAAACTAAAGGCAAGTTAACTGATTAACATTGGTAGCAGAGCCCCCTTTGTATGGTCTTAATTACAAAATATTGGGGATACAGTGACTGTGTTAGGGCCAAGCAGGTAGCCTGGGGGGATGTTTATTACACCGAGAGGCTTTTTTTTTCCAGACTTGCAGAAAAAAAAGCCACGGTGTAGGTGTGCAAAAATATAACAAGGATACCGAATCTTAAGTGAACATGAGGAGAGTGTCGCCCACGGGGCAGGATGTTCAGTGACAGGCGATTAAGAGAGCACTCAACAGCTCCTGACACCAGGGTTGGGGATGCCTTTTTTTTTTTTAAAGTCTACTTGTTTCTCTTCAAAACTGCTTCCATGTTTTACGTTAAATGCAATTTGATTGCCGATAAATTCCTGTGAGATGGGGCTCTTGGGCTGACTGAGCTTTCCAGCCGTGGCGTCCGAGCGAACACTACAGCCGTGGCCACCAGTCCGTCCTCCGAAGGGCCATGGACGGGTTTCACGCGGAAAAACCACGTAATGTTGGCAACTGTTGTCAGTAATACACAGTGTTGTGGAAAGTCTGGCGCGCGGTAAAACAAGACCTTAGTCTAGTCACCCCAGGGCCCCGTGATGAGGGGCCCGCGGCGCGAAGGACCAGAGCGGCAGACCAGGTGTGTGAGGAGAGTGCTCACGCTCAGGTAATTATTTTTCTTTTTCCTTCCGTGGGTGAAGCGGAATCCACCGCCGTTGCCTTGGCGTCCCCGCAGGCGTTGCCGGCCGAGGCGCGCCCCGGCGGCGGGGGCTGCGGCCGCTTCCTCCTCGGCGCCTCGGCGGGCGCGCGGGCCTCGGCGCCGGCCCTCAGGACGCAGCCCGAGCCGAAGAGCTCCTCCATCAGGCTGCTCTTCCGCGCCAGGAAGGCCGCGTCCGGCGCCTTGGCGCGCCCCGCCTTGCCGAGGGAGGGCTCGTCGTCGCGCGCCGGCTGCCCCGGGGGCTCCCCGCGCCTCGGGCCCGCGTGGGGGGCGCCCGCGGCCGGCAGCCCGTGGTGCAGGTTCTCCACGGCCTCGGAGAAGGCGTAGCGCCGGCGGGGCCTGGGCGGCGGCGCCCTGGCGATGTCGGGGGCGCGCTCCCCGCGTGGGCTCCCCGCCCGGCCCGCCGCGGCCCCCGGGGCGCCCTCCCTGGCCGCGGGGCCCGGGGCCGGGCCCGGGGCCGGCGCCGCCTCCTGCTCGTCCTGCGGCCTCGGCCTTCCCGCGTGTTCCGGCGCGGCGTCCGCCTCCCGTCGCTCCTCTTCCTCCGCGGCATCTGTTTCAGAGAAAGCCGGCTCAGTGAGTTTAGAAATTCATGGGTTTCGCCCCTCGCCTGCACCTCCTCACAAGCATTTTCAAGTGACAAGGTGGGAAAACGCGCGCAGCCCTCGGGCGCAGGGAGAGCGCGGTGGACGCCGAGGTGCGGTGAGCTGGGGCACCGCGGCCGGGAGACTCTGAAGCCCGAAGAGAAACACGGCGGCATGGCCGGGGAGCGAACCCCTGTCCCTGACTTACTGATCCTCAGCGTCGCTGGACATAGCGCCAGTTAAAATAACGAGAGTATTGTTTTCTCAACCAATCTGCAAATTCCAGATTAGGTGGGGACCTGGGGAAACTGGAACGTTTGTCCCCCCCTTGGGGGTGTCAGTTGGCAGGGCTATTTTGGGATGGCAACTTGGTGGCCTCCCTATCAGAATGTTGCGGGAACACACTCTAGACGGGCCACTTCTCTAGGGCCAAACCCTGCACAAATGCACGGAAGGTTTGCGCACCGCAGCGTGGCTGATGCCTCCCGTGACCCAGTCGGGGTACAAAAGGACAGCACTGGCAGCCTGTGGCATTCCAGGCAGTTGTTACCGAGAAAGAGGTGGAGAAGTCTGAGTTGATGGAAGATGCATAGTGTGTTTCGGAAAAGGCTATTTGGGGAAAAGCCCGGTTCCTGGGACCCAGGAAGCCCTGGGTGCAGCCCAGACGGGCTCGGGTTCCCAGGCCTGAGCAGCCCCGGCCCTGTTAGAAGCCTGCAGCCGGTCACCCGTGGGGAGAGGGGACAGGGTCGTGTGTACAGGGAGTTGGGAAGTTTTCACATATGAACACATTCTGAAATAAATTGAACCATTCATACTCAGGAAAATAAGGGAATTCTAGCAAGAGAAAGAAAAATGTTTCAAGAATTAGTTAACAAATCAAAACACAGGGTAGATTCTGAGCCAAATGTTGCTCTTTTGCTCTTTGATCCTGGAAGCAGCATTGACGCTTGATGGCTGGGGCTGCCCAGTGGCCACCAGCCCCCACCCCCAGCTCTGGGCCCTGGGGAGACTGGTTAAGGGAAGCGCGGGAGGGTGAGGCCTGGGGCCCGCAGCTTTGGGGGAGGCCCCCGATCTGCTTCTCACATGGGCAGGGCCACACAGACATCATGTACAACGATTGTTTAAACTGCATGTAGGTGACGTGTCCTTCCACGCACACAGACAGTGCACAACTTTACAAACGTCAAATAAAGACTGGGCAGCTGCTGGCGTTACCTTCACACTTTCTTTTGGCACCCTCTTGGTTTGGCAGTTGCCCGACACCGTGAGGGGCTGCACAGGCGATCTCAGTTGACTTTTCTTTCTGACCGATGTTTCTTGTTGTCTTATTCCCCTGTAATCAGAAAAGCAGTGAAAACGTATCTTTGGGGACAGATAATTTTGCTATTCACTGAATACAAACATCATTTGTATAGAGCAAGTAATAGAACAAGCACCTGTTTATCGTCTAATTCATTTTTGTAATGATTGGCTTATCAGAGCCTGAAAGATTTCAGATGTGCTGTACCTTAGTTGTCAAAGATGGGGCATCTTCTGATTTTTGGGTCTCCTGGTGTCTCATGATGGTAAATGGGACGCTTTTCCTGTCCACCTGTATGGATTTTGTTGACGAAACTGCAGGAGAGGAGCATGAGCATGTGAGCAGCCTATCCCCCACCTGGAAGCATACTGACTTTAAACACGAAATAACACCGAGGTGTGCAGCGTAATAGTAAAGCAAAGCATGTGATACCTGCTGACATTTTCCAGTGTGGAACATTTGCTGGTTTTATTTACCCCGCTACTCCCCTGCTCCTTCTTGCGGGTGACCTTGGTTCCGGGAATCTCAGTGGCAGAGAAAGCAAGTGGCCCCAGGGTTCGAGGGCCAGGGTGTAGCACCTGAGGACCCGTGTCCCTGCTTCCAGAAGGAACTCAAAGCTGCGGACCTGGGTGGGATCCTGCGAGCCCCGCCCCCGCACCACAGGGGCAGGATCCCAGTGGTCACATCACCACGAAGTCCAGACCTGCTTTCCTGGGACTATTACCCCATTTAAATGACCCCACATTTGCTTTCAACTACTCTGCTGGCTTTATTCTGGATTGTGAACCAGAAGCAGACACACCAGAAGTGGCCAGGAGATTGGAGGTGGTGGACAGGTAGCTGCTGCTGTCAAAATAGAGGCGGCCTGTTGTGCCTCTTTTTTTTTTTTAAAAAAAGATTTATTATGCATACAAGAACTGGGGTACAGGCCAGAGGTGTGGGGGTGAGAGGATTCACAAGAGACAGTGAGGAGCCGAACAGGTGGATCTAGTGAAACACTGCTGAGGGGAGCAGCAGGGAGACAGGAGAGGTCTGTGCCCTGTGGGTCACCTCCTTGGCAGGGGATCGATCTCATGCCGCGGTGGCTGTGGATAGCTTCATAGTGCTGCGTCTTAACCCCTTGTGCCACCAGGGAGGCCCATGCTGTGCCTCTTCCGAGTGGAATCTAACTCGGGGGATACTGTGTGCCGGGTGGGTTGGTACACGAAGCCATAAAAGCAATGACAGCAGCAACAGGGTGGATCTCAAAACCATCCCGATGAACAGAAGCCTCCGGCCCCTGGAGAGCACAGGCTGTGTGATCCTACTTACACGAAATCCTCACACAGGCAAATAAGCTAAGACCAACGGAAGGGAGTCAGAAGCCAGGGGCTGGAGCTTCGGGAAAAGATGGACACGATGTGTGTCTCGACTGGGCGGTAGCTCCATGCATTTGTCAGGACCCACTGATTGAACACTTGGCACGGGGGCGTGTTACTGAGGTGAATGGCGCCCAGAGGTGAAGCCGATTTAACAAGTGCCTGGCCTGCTAACAAATGGAAAGCTGCTCTTTGCCAGACATTCTGCTTCCAGCTGAGGAGTGGCCCTGTCTCCGCCCTCAGTGAGGGCGGGAAGGCTTGCAGACCAGGGGGCCGTGCCTGATCCGCCCCGCTGGTCCCGGCACATCTCTCTCTTTATTTATTTTTAAAGATTTTTAAAAAAATTTATTTATACAAGCACTGGGTACAGTCAGAAGCGCGGGCGGGTGAGAGAATTCACCAGAGCCAGAGCGGGGAGCAGAGCAGGCAGAAGGACCGAAGTACACTGCTGAGGGGAGCAGCGGGCGGCAGGAGAGGTCTGCGCACCATGCGGGACCCTCCTCCGGTGGCCGGGGAGCAGCCGGGGATCGAACCAGTGCTGCAGAGGCTGCGGGCAGCTTCGCAACCCAGCACTCAACCGCTGTGCCACTGGGGAGGCCCTCTTATTTATCTGGACTCACAAACTGTGTCCTGGTGCCTAATAAAATGCTTTTCTAGAATCCCCAGTATCCAGTGAGACACGTTAGGAAAATCTGACTTGATACTTAAAAATAGAGATGAGCAAAAATAAGGAAAACGTACCTTTTGGATAATCTTTGTCTTGCGAATTTTTAAGTATCCGATTCGTATAGATGTTTCTGATTTCAAGCTCTCGATCCTTCTCCTAGAGAGAACCACAATACCATTTTTCTGTGCATGTTTGTTTTTGTTAACTTTGATTTCTTCTAAGGCACAGGTTAAATAAACTCAATTTTCTTTAAACACACTAGATTCTGGCAGAAACAGGCCACATCATTACAGATCACGCCTCACACTAAGGGGTGTGTCCAAGCTTTTCCAGGTCAGCATTTTTTTCAGTCTCCTGGGCCTGTGCCAAGTTCATTGTTCTGCGTGTTTGAAGCCATTTGATGATTGGAACTAATCAAAATACAAAAAGTGAGACCCTCAGGCCACAGTCACACCCCGCAGGTGTCAGGATACTCCTTGGGTGTACACGGGGAGGCAAGTCTGCCGGCTGCATCCAAGACCCTGCAGCTCTGGCCCACCCTGGTGGAGAGGCGGGCAGGCGCGAGTGAAGGTGTCTCACTGACAGGAGAGGAAAGCCCAGAGGAAGGAGTGAGGAGAGAGGAGGCTGTGAGAGATCTACGAGGGAGAGAGGTCGTTAATCCAATGGGGTTTTGGGTTTCCTGGTGCCGCTCGGGCGCAAACTGTGAGCCAGGGGAGGTTCAGGGGCTGAAGAAACTCCATGAGGTTTGGAAAATCTCAGTCAAGAGGCTTCAGGGGATTCGCCACCTTCCATAGCCCCCACACTCAGCATGGAGCTGGGGCTCCGGGTGTCCCTGCGGTCAGTCAGGAGGGGCAAAGTCCTGCGCCCTGAGCCAGGTGGCGGGTGCATCTGGGATGCAGGAAGCAGCTGTGGGCGATGACCGGGGTGCAGGTGCCTAATGGGGGCTGGCACAGCTGGCTGCTCCTACAGCCCCCGGGACCCCCCTAACTGTCCGTGGGCGACAGGCCCCTGTGAGCCCCACTTCTGTGTCTGTCTCATCTCTGCATCTCCTGGTTGTTTTGGGGAGATCTCTTCAGAGACCCTACATCTTTATCTTTATTGAATTTTCTGTGCTGGCAATCACATCTTAACTCACTGTTTTCTGATGCCCCCTCCCCCCCATTCTCATTGTAGAGGAGGCCTCTTCTGTCCAGGCAGACGCCTGGGGGGTTACTATCCCCTTTGGAGAAATGCCTCTCCGCCCGGCCTTTTCCCTTGTTCGGATTAGGCTTTTCCTGTTGCTGAGTTTGTCTCTTAGCCTCTTCCTCTATGAGCTCCACTCCCGTCTCTTCCTTTTTTCGCTTTGCTGTTTATTTGTTGTGGAAGACTGTGTGTGCTGCACCCCGAGTGTGTGTGCTCTCCCCGAGTCTGGCTGCACCCTAGGGGTGCTGTGTGGCGCTCTCTGGTTTCGGGTGTGAGCGTGTATCAGACCCGGCGGCCTGGGGCCGGGCACCCCGCAGGTGGGTATCCCCACATTCCCTTTTTCTTAAGATTATTTGTTTATTTATACAAGCACTGGGTACAGTCAGAAGCGCGGGAGGGTGAGAGAATTCACCAGAGCCAGAGCGGGGAGCAGAGCAGGCAGAAGGACCGAAGGACACTGCTGAGGGGAGCAGCGGGTGGCAGGAGAGGTCTGCGGGCCATGCGGGACCCTCCTCTGGTGGGTGGGGAGCAGTCGGGGATTGAACCGGCGCTGCAGAGGCTGCGGGCAGCTTCGCAACCCAGTGCTCAACCGCTGCGCCACCGGGGAGGCCCCCCGCATTCCCTTTTGTGAGGCCCAGTCCCTGACACTTACTGCCCAGCTCCACTCATGCATTAGCAGCCCGGACAGCCAGGGCTGGTCTCCCCCTTTCTCAGTACTGATTGGGGTGCTTTTGCCAGGAGGAGTGCCCCCCCCCCCTTACCAACTCCCCGGCTACTCTGAGCATATGAAAGGTAAACGTAATTGTCTCTTTTCCGTTATGTACCAGTTTTTGAGACAGTTTGCTGGCTCCAGAGGGCTCCTCACTGAGGCTTTTCAAAAGTGGTGTCATTATGAGCCAGGATTTCTATATATTGGATGAGTTTTAATCCACGCAGGTATTTTTATTCCCCCCAGCTCCCCCCACTTTGGCAGTGACCTAATCGAGATGGGTCCAGGTGAGTCCTTCTGATGCTGCCCACACGTAGCTTGCAGAGGCGGCTTGATTCCTTTCGGTGGGCGTGGAATGAGAAGTGCAGAACCTTGGTTCCAGGAGTGTTCATGACCACTGAGTGGGCCACACCAGAAAATACACATTTACATTTAAGGACAAAATATATGATAAATTCATACTTCATTCATACATCCCTTCAATTTGTGATGAGGACTGCAGGGTTTTTTTTTTTTTATTTAAGATTTATTTATCTATGCATACAAGAACTGGGGTGTAGGCCAGAGGTGTGGGGGTGAGAGGACTCACCAGAGACAGAGCGGGGAACAGAACAGGCACATCTACTGAAACACACTGCTGAGGGGAGCAGCGGGGAGACAGGGGAGGTCTGCTGCGCCATGTGGGTCAGCTCTCTGGCCGGGGATCGAACTCGTGCTGCAGAGGCTGTGGATAGCGTCACAGTGCTGAGACTTAACCCCTGGACTGCAGGGTTTTTGTTTAGCCTTCTCTTCTGTATTTTCTTCCTTCTATCCCTGGAATCCCGCTTCTCGGTAACACTGACACCATGTGGGTTCTCTCCCTGAATGGACGCAGAACAGTGTCAAAATAACCAGACGACACCACACCAACAGTGACGTTTTCTCTGTGACGTCACGCCACTGCCGGCAGACACAGAGCGTTCCTGGTTTTAGTGTCAGGAAATGCTTTTCAGCTTCTTCACATTTCATCCTGCTTCATGCCTGTGCCAAGTATCACACGGTTCCAAAGTCAGTGCTATCAAAAAGATGTCTAAGGAAGTCCAGGCTCAGTGACTCTCCCGGGCCAGCCGCTCCCCACTTCTGCCGTGGCCCCGTCCTTTTTTATGCACAAGCAGACGCGGGGGCCTCCGTGCTCCCTTCCTTCTGCAGTCGGCAGCATTCTCCACGCCTCCCCCCTGCCTTCCTTTGCACACTCAGCAAGATCCCTTGGAGCTTATCCCGTGATCTTGGTCCTTTTTGCAGATGCACAGAAATCCGTTGTGTGGGGGTGTGGTTACTTCCCAGAAATAAATTTGGATCTTACTGTCTATAGAATGTTGCATCTTTCCTTTCATTAAGCATTGCATTACTATTAAGCATTTGTTTTGTCAACATTTTTTTTAATGAGTACATCCTACTTACATGCCTGTGGATACACACGAAAGCATAATGTTGATTTTATAATTCCCTCAGTGCATGCATACATGTGTGTGTGCATAGGTGTGTGCGTGCCTGTGTGTGCGTGTGTGTGTGTGCCTTGAACAGTGGACCTTGAAGTCTCTTCTGTTCTATTTCTAAGCTGGCTGCTATGGCCATGCCTGTTTTCTGGCATATTCTTCTCTCTGAAGTTTCCTAAGACTCTCCCCTGTCTTTCAAAGGGAGTGTTTACATCCATCTTTCTCCCCTTATGTCCTTTGAGGCACCTGGGAGATCTGAATTCCCTGCTTGTCATAAGTGAAAGTCTCATCTCAAAAAACAAGCTTAAGATTTACTAGTTGAGCCTCTAAAGAGCTGCATCTCTGAAGTGTCTTAACTCACTTTCCCAACTTGTTGGACATTTTAGAAATGCTCAAGGCACAATGATAGCAAAAGCCTGAAAAAATAAGTATTTCTAATACCCATTTTTAAAGCATACTTTAAAAGACAACTTTGCAAGCATTTGCAAGTGAAACTCTAAAATAAATTTCTGGGCCATTAAAATGACCTCGTATTTTAATGTCATAGGTTAATTTTAACATTGAAAAACGTATTTGGGGTTACATTAAAATGTTAGCAACATGCACTAATATTACTTCATGCCATGAGATAGAAAGGTTAAGAAGTCTTGTTAATGAAGAATTTTAATTTTTCTAATCATGGTACAAGTCTACCAGGCTGTTAGCTCATTCTAGTTAAAGTGAGTTCTAATAACCTTAGGCCTTCTGTCTGTTCATATGGTTGTAGGAAAGAAAGGTAATTTGAGAAACATATTCCTGAAGTGAAATAATTTAAAGCTATACCGGGCCCGAGTCACTGTGCTGTTTTGGGGAGCGGACGCTCATGGCGTTGGAGACGCACCTTAAGTCTCTGCTGCAGGTGGGTCACCTCCATCTGCAGGGTCCTCGTGGCCGCCTGCGCCGCTGCCGTCTTCCGGCTCTCAGTGGCCAGCTGGCGGCTAAAGGCCTTATTGTTCAACCTCAGTTGTTTTTCCAAGCTCTGAAAACAGTATACAATTCAACGCTCTGTCACCCGTGTCGTATCTGTAAGAACCTGCATCGCAGTGGAGCTAACTACACTGAGAAGCGCGAGTTTTCAGGGCCATGTCAGTGGCAGGCTGGCAAGGGGCAATATAATTTAGAAGGGATTGGAACAATAACAGAATAGCCAGAAGCCCCCGGTCCCAAGTCTAGAAGATATTTTTTTTTTTTAGTATATGTGCTGCCGAAGCGAGCACACCAAGTCTAGAAGATAAACATCATGTGTTTTGAGCCTGCTTTTCTTTCTTTGACACACTTTGGAAGTGCCACGCTGGGAACGACACCTGGGCAGGTGTGCTAAGTGAAGTGTTCCGAGCGTTGCCTTGTGTGGCAACTTTAAAAAAAAAAAACCCTTCCACCCCTGGGCCAAAGGGCTGTCCAGCCGCCCCACAGCGGTGCAGACCCCCGAGGGGTCCCACACAGGAGCCTGGAAGTAAGTCACAGCAGGGATGCCAGCGCCCGCCCCACACAGCCGCCTCGAGCTACAGGACTCCGACAGGAGGCTTGGCCACATGGCCATTTCTGTCCTTCCTTTCTTTTCTTTTTAACATAAATTGTGGTTTCCTTGCTTATAACAGCAAGAAATACGGGAAGTTAAGAGGATAAAATAATCACTAAAAATCCTACTTCCTGAAATACTAACATTAAATACCTACAGTTCGGGCCCTCTAGCCTCTCCACCAAGGGCTTTACCACCAAGTAGAAACTCCCCATAAAATCAAGTGCTTCTGATAAGAACATAATTTGTTTTGAGATCCTTTTGTCTATACGATGTAAAACCATGAACTATGTAAACATTTACATGTAAAAATAGAAGAAATAAAAATACATTTACATGTGGGACATATGCTAAGGTGGATCCAGTATCACCTCCTGAATACAATTTACAGTATACAGTGAAAAAGTGTATACTGTGAAAAGCAATGTTCATTATTTTCTGTCGCTCACGTATCCATTTTATGTGAGAAAATTCTCTTTGAAAATAGGGGAGGATTTTACCAAAGAAGAAATAGCTGAGATAACCAAGTGGATGAAATAAACTTAACATTTTCTTCTTATTTCAAGATCACAGAAAATTCTTGCCTGTCACCAACATGTATCAAGGAATTAAATGGTCAATCCAGTTATGTTTCTGTCCACAGAGTCCAAAGTCGAAGGTCAAACAGGCAGAGTTCTTGATACAATGAGTGTGTTTCCCCAAGTCAAGCCTTGTAGGGTAGCCCCCAGGTCACTTCTTCAACTTTGATTTCTCCCCCCTCTCTCTTCACAGGAGCATATCTGGGGGAAATTCCCATCCCTCAAATACTGAAATGTCTACATGGTAATGTACACAATGAGGAGGGCTGAGATCAGGAAGGGACTGAAGAGATGCTCTGCTTAGGTTTTTAGGAAGTAGCCTTTTGCTAAAGTTTGCCTAAGAGACTTTGCAAACAACACATAAAAACTTTCCGGCAAATAAAGACTTGTTTGATGCCTGTAGCTGAGCTGTCATTTCCAGAGAAAGGAGTCCAGCCCCAGAGTGAACCTGTCACCACAGAGTGAGCTCTGGTAACCATGACAGCCTGGTCACCACAGAGTGAGCTCTGGTAACCATGACAGCCTGGTAGCCACAGAGTGAGCCTGGTCACCATGGAGTGAGCCTGGTCACCACAGAGTGAGCTCTGGTCACCAGAGAGTGATCCTGGTCACCAGAGAGTGAGCCTGGTCACTTCAGAGCGAGCCTGGTCACCACAGAGTGAGCTCTGGTCACCTCAGAGTGAGCCTGGTCACCTCAGAGTGAGCCTGGTCACCACGAAGGCCACCACAGAGTGAGCTCTGTCACCATGGAGTGAGCCTGGTCATCACAGAGTGAGCTGTGGCCACCAAGGAGTGAGCCTGGTCACCACGGAGTGGGCTTTGGCTACTGGGACAACAGAAGGCCCATTTCTAGTCTTGAGCTGCTGTGTCTCCCCTTTTCACCTCCTGCTCCCACTCCCATCCCCAAGAAAAGTCAGCATCGTCCAGTGTGGCACATGGCAGCCACCTGACTAGCCACCTGGTCATGTTCCATTCACCGTGGGACAGGACCAGTGGGCACCATCCCCACATTAATTTTAAAACCTTAACATTTCTAGATCTCTGAAATACAGACCTGGATTTTTTTGTCATTTGTTTCCATTTTAGTGGTAAGACTAGACAGTCTTTGAGTAAGTTCTCCCCTCTCTGCCAGATTCTTGTCCTCAGAAAGTCTCTGCAGTGTCTGCAGAGTGTCTTTCGTCCTGAGTAGTTCGCCGTCTGTTTCTCGAAGTTTCCTAGATATGGCTCTTTCCTTTGCCTGAGATTTCCTAAGTAGCTGCCTTAAATTTTTTACTTCACTCTGATGTTGAGCTACAATCTGAGGTAGGTTATTTTGTGAATTCTCGTACTTTCCGATAGCTCTCAGGTGTCTAAGCTGAACTTGTTTCAGAAATTGGTTTTCTATGACTGTGGCTTCCAGCTTGCGATGTATGTCAGTTAGTTCGTTTTTCAGCTCTTTGATCTTGTGTAGCCTTGCGGAGAGGATGCGGTGAGTCATAGCGTCTCTTCTCTGGGTCACGTTGGCTTGGGAATTGGAAATGGGCGCCTTGCAGTTGTGCTTTTTCTCCATGGAGATTTCTGGGCCTGTGGAAGCAGATAACCCAGTTTGTTATTAGTAATATGCATTCAGATATGCAGATGTGTAAATATACACACATGAGCATCCCCCCATACACATGCAAACTAGAGCAGGAAAGAACTTTATAGTTATCTCCCGTCACGTGATTCTTTAAGGTCGGTGCTAGTCTAATTTAAAGCTGGGTAGTTTATGTCATTTGTCCATCACTGTTCCCGTATGCTAGGCATTGAACTACATGAAATCCAACACACGAATGGGATAGTGAGGATGTGGCACTAGAGCCAGACAGGTAGGAAGATCTCATAGAATCAAAAAGACCCTTCAAAAGCCAAGTGGCAGTTTAGCTAGATGGACAGATATCCCATGTCTGGATGGGAGGCCGGTGTGTCCTCGGTTAGTGTGGCTGGGCATACAGAGTCAGTGGGTTGGCTGTGTTTAGGAATCTACTTTAAATAAAAAGTGTCTCAACAATATTACATCAAGCTTTAAGCACCAAGCTTATAAAAATCATATGTGAGTTTGTCAGCTGTCCCTGCATTATCATCCCATGCTAAAGATGGATGGACTGATGCTTGGCTGTGGCACTCACCAGTGGGCAGCAGTGTGTGCCTGTACCTCATCTCTGTGTGCATGTGTAAGGGGCTTGTAGGGGTGTGTGTGTGTGTGTGTGCACGCAGGGCTACGTATCAGTACATATTCTGAGAGGAGACTCAAACTGCATTCTAAAATCTAAAAAAAAAAGCTGGTGCTTTGCTGGAGAGTGAAGGGGCTTAGTGACCAGTGTCACTGGAGTCCCAGCCTTGGGCCTGGGTCCAAGCGTGGACGTGTCCTCTGAGACGTGGCTGACTGTGAGGAAGGAGATTCTGCCTGGGACAGATACACGGAGCCAATAGAAATGGGATGTTGTCGGGGTGGGGGGTGTTTGAATCTGGGCTATGACAGGACAAGTAGGTTTGACAACACTCAATGTCAGTGCAAACCCATTTTTGTTTCCAAATCAGTTTTGGTGCCAAAAATACGAAACATTTTTGGTTTTCAGAGCTTTGTTCATACGACATGCAAGCACAGCATGTGCCTTACAATGGTCTCTTTTGACAGAGTCCACTGGGAGACAAGGTACTGGACTTTTCATCCTGGGCCTTGGGTCTTGCCAGGGGGTGTAGGGCCCTCTGTCTTTCTAGAAAAGAGCACTTTGAGAATCCGGTACAAGCCACGGATCCTTCTTAGAAAAGTCTCCAAAAGGCAGATAGACAAGTAAAATTTCATGGGTTCACACACATGGGTCTTAGACTAGGAATCCCTGCGCTGCAGCCTGAGGATGCTACATGATCCAGGGGGACATGGAGTCCAGAGCGGGCGGTGGGTGACAGGTACTGGGTAACCCTGACAGGAGACGTGGCCCAGACGTACAGGCGCCTGCTTAAGTGTTTTCCAACTATGGCAGTTCTGATGGTCAAAGTGGAAGGAGTTGCAGTCACTCCTGTGTAAGGAATATGCACGAGCCCGGGACTGTCTGGGCAGGGGGCAGGGGTGAGGATTCACTGACACTGAAGGCTAATTCCATGTGTGTGCGGGTACTTTGATGTACTTTGATGGCAGAGACAGAGTCCCCTTCTGTCGGCTGCAGTGCAGGGATTCCTAGTCTAAGACCCATGGTTGTGATCCCATGAAAATCTACTTGTCTGTTTGCCTTTGGGGACTTTTCTAAGCAGAAGGACCCTTGGCTTGCACCAAAGTACATCAGAGTACTTTGATGATGTAGGTACTTTGAAAATCCACAAGGAAACGACATTAACAGCCTTTGGAAGCAGCCCTGTTTCTAAAGACTGTCTCTGCCAGGATGTCTCACCGGACTTGGAGACCATCTTCTTGGGGCGTTGAGACAGGTACTTATGCTGCATTGGCAAGTCAAGCCTTGGTTCTCCAGCTGAGATGAAAGGCAAGAAGATACTGAAATCCAAGTACCGTGGTACTCTGAAACAAGGCCACCTGTTAACTGAAAAGGGAACTGCCCTCACTAGCAGGCTCCAGCAGGGCCGCCCCGGGGAGGGTGGGCTGTCACGCTTTAGCCTAGCTTTCTGTTGTTGTGTGACTCTTTTTTTTTTTAAAGATTTATTTTATTCATGTATACAAGAACCTGGGTACAGGCAGATGTGCGGGAGGGTGAGAGGATTCACCAGAGAGAGTGGGGAACAGAACAGACAGACTGACTGAAATCCACTGCTGAGGGGAGCGGTGGGTGAGACAGGAGAGGTCTGCCGTGCCATGTGGGTATCTCCCTGGACAGCTGGGGTCAAACCTGCGCTGCAGAGGCTGCGGACAGCTTCACAGCGCTGTGCTCAACCACCTGTGCCACCAGGGAGGACTCTTAATCTATATCCTAATTCCTCCTATGAAAATATACTAACACGTAAACAACAAAATACACATTTCCGATAGGGAGAAACAATAAAACCGAATATGGACCAGTCACGTATTGGTGCATGAAATCAGGAGGTTACTATAGTCAGATATTTGGTCTCGGCTGGGAAATTTCATTTCTTACCTTTAGGCAGGGAGAACTTAGAAACATTATAATTTTTCTTCTCCTCCTTGTTTTCTTTGACCACAGGCGTCTCTACGTAATTTCTGTTAGCTGTTGTTTCTGAACATTCAGAGACAAACTCTTCTGAATAGTCACAGTGAGAATTTAAGCTTCCACAGGAACACTGAGATCTGCTATAATCAACACTCTTATCGGAAGCGTTACTGTTCCTGGGAAAATTGCTTGTGTCTGCGCTCCTCTCTGCAGACCGCCTAGTGCTTTCTAGAGTCACACTGGGGAAAGGCTCATCTACATTTATCTCTGTTGTATCAGCCAAAGACATAGTAAATGACCTAATAGAAGAAAAGTATTTTTAGATTTAGAGCTATTGACATTAAAACGAACCTGTGCTTTATATAACTAGAAATGGATAATTAGGGAAGTGGAATAAAACAGTATTTTGAAGTATCTTCTGGAAGAATCTTAGTTTGGTTGTTATAGTATTCCTCATAAAATATAAGACCCTGAGGCCAAACTGTGGTGAGATAATAGTCACATGCACTGTAAGATAGAGTTCCCATCAGGTGATACCGATTTAAGTTGATTCTCTAAGGCTGGCTATTGGTTGAGATTTTCTGCCATGATCAGAACTAATGAAAATGTCAATATTTGGCAAATCTGGTATGAAATACAGCACTTGTGAAATTCAGACATATTTGTTGAGATGTACACATTTTTACTCACTAAAGGTGAATTACATATTCTGAGACTACATATGTAGAATACATCAGTCCACCCTTTTTCTAGAGCCAGTACTTGTTCCAAAATTACGAGTAATAATAGCTTCTAGTTATGTGAGCTTGAACCAAGACTATAAGGTTTTTAAAATTTTATTTCAGGAAGTTTGCATTCCTTTAGATGCTTTACTTATATTATTAAATTAATATGATTTCCCTGATTATATACCAAATGGTCATAGACCACATGATTACAGAAGCAGGAATTCAGAGGAACGAATTGATTTACATGGAAAAATCATCCAGGGATTCCAATTATTTTGAAGAAAATTCACCAAATGGAAAATTTACACTTGTTTAATAAAGGACTGACTATATTTTCAGCTACACACAAAACAAACTTTTGTAAATAATGAATTTGGAAACATCAAAAGTAATTTGTCGTAAAACTATTTCAAAGTGAAAAATCAAAATCCTTTTTTTATAATATTGTCATTTTATTTATTATTATGCTTTATTGAGGTAACATTGGTTTACAACACCGTACACAATTTAGAGTACAGGTTCACCCCTCTCCAGCATTACACCACACCACACCCGATGCCAAAGACCAACAACCCTGTTGGTCATGGCCCTCCACCCCCACCTGCTCTCCTAACATCTCCTTCTGCAGTCAGGTTTCAAGGGTTAGCTTTGTTCCTTAGCTTTGTTTGTTTCTTTCTTTTTTAAAGATTTACTTATTTATGCATACAAGAGCTGGGGTACAGGCCAGAGGTGTGGCAGGTGAGAGGATTTAGTAGAGACAGAGTGGGGAACAGAACAGGTGGATTGACCAAAATACACTCTTGAGGGAGCAGTTGGTGAGAAAGGAGAGGTCTGCTGCACCATGTGGGTAGCTCTCTGGCCGGGGATGGAACTTGTGCTGCAGTGGCTGCGGTTAGCTTCATAGGTTGCCTCTCAATCCCTTGTGCCACCAGGGAGGCCCGTGTTTTTATATTCTTCAGATAGCTAACTAGGAATGAAGTTGCCGCATCTAATGGCAGATCTGTTTTTAATGTGAAAATCAACATCTAACTGGGGAACAATAGTAAAAGTAGACTTCCAGGAGATATGTTAAAAAGCAAAAAGTAGAAATGAAATTGGAAGGCGTGATCCCAACTTCTAATCAGGGGCATGTGACACCTCCTAGTGGAGCGCCCTCTGCAGTGGGGCTGGGGCCTCGCAGGCTGGCTCTGGGCCAGACGCCAAATCCCAGGGAGACACTGCCTGGAGTCCTGAGCCCTGGTGATTTACTCAGCGCCTGTGTTTATATTGTTTCGCCTGTGCTTGTCTAGAGTAGCCGTTTATCAAGGTCCTACTTTCATTAAAACTGTCAGTGTAGGGCCTCCCCGGTGGTGCAGCTGTTGAGCGCTGGGCTGCAAAGCTGCCCGCAGCCTCTGCAGCGCCGGTTCAATCCCTGGCCGCTGGCGAGGGGCCCATATAGTGCAGACCTCTCCTGCTGAACCCGCTGCTCCTCTCAGCAGTGTACTTCGTCACTCCGCCTGTTCTGCTCCCTGCTCTGGCTCTGGTGAATTCTCTCACCCTCCCGTGCTTCTGACTGTACCCAGTGCTTGTATAAATAAATAAGTAAAATTTAAAAACTGTCAGTGTAAGTCACTGCATTTCATCCCCCGTTTGTCAGGCAGTTCCAAGACACGCTCAGCTCCCTTGCAGGAGTCCACCAGGGGAAGGGGCGCAGTGCAGGCCAGGAGGGTGAGTTTGATTCAGTTAAGTAAAATTAATTTAAATACAACAGTTCTTATTTGTAGACCAGGAATGTTTCAGTTCAGTCAATTACTCCCCCAAGCAACTTTCACAGGGTGCCACAGGGCCCCTTGTAGCTACAGGAACTCCTCAGCTGTTTGCCCCTAGGAACTTGTTTAACAGTCAGAGCAGAGTGATCACATTTACTCCACTTGCTCTTTGAGTTCCTGGGGTAGGGCCTCGGTGGTCACATCAAAGTACTGACTGAACGGAATAACCATGTGACAACAGGCTGGGTGCCGGTGCCGCTTCTGGGGGCTTCCCACACACCCTGAGAGGTCCCCTCAGTCCATCCAGCTTCTTGACTTGCTCAGGGACTCTGGGGGAGATGGGAGCCCACAGTTAAGATCTGGATCCCCTGAGAATCCCAAACGTTGGGTGGGAAAGGCCTCTCTGGAGAAGAGGCGGTGCGCGCCAAAGCTGCTCACCACGGCAACTGTGGAACACTGGGCCTGCCCTGGCCCTGTGCGCGAGAATCAGCGGATTCCAAGGTACACACGCTTCTGAGGCCTTCAACAAACCCTCTCAGCTGTGTCACACGGGAGTTGAAATGGAGGGAACCAGTTTGAAATCAACACAGAGGGAAATCAACACAAGTGATCCCGGCTGAAGGGCCTGTGTCTTGCCGCCGCCCATCAGGTGCCACCAGCCACCGGCCTCAGCCACCTTGGCAGCGATTTGGGACAAAGGAATTGTTGTTGTCTTGGGTCTTTAGAGGGGCTGTTGTTTTTTTCATTGAACACTCTCAATTCTCGTTTCCAAGAAAGCATGGCAGGACCCTCTGTCGAAAGCCGAAGAGAAACCAGCGGTCCCGTGTCCTCAACGGAGCCCGAGCTCGCGCTGCTTGTTCTGTTTCTGATTTTCTTTCTCCCTCTCAGCTGCGCGGTAGCAGCTGCCCGTGATTGGAAATTAGGATCAGACCGTCACATTTCATTTCCATTTGCAGCTCTTTCTGCATCTGCCCGGCCTTTTAGCTCCTCCCCCAACCCTCGATGAAATGAACTGGGGGCGGCTCAGAGTTGCCCCTCCTCGGGAGTCTCAGTGCAGAAGCCCCATAAACATTACCCCCCTTCCCCACCTCAGAACTCCCTCTGAGAAGCCTCTCACCCTGCCCGTCCCAAGCAACACCAGTGGGGGCAGCTGGACGCAGGCGGCCGAGGGTGTGGGCCTGGGTCCTCGCTGGCTCCCTGGTGCCGGCCATCTGTGAGCGGTGAGTGGGGCTTATGGGGGGAGAGGAGGGTGTTTGTCTAACAGCTATGAGGGGACTGTCCCCTCGGAGCAGCCAACAGGTGCTAGCTTCCCCGCTTAGGGGTGTGATGCTGGCGCAGACGCCTGGACTGCTCTGGTAGGTGAGTGGTGCCGTCAACATTTTACCAGGAACAGCTGCTTGATGAATCCCACTACCCTGAAAGCTCCCTGCGGACAGGCTACGCCTTGTTCCTGGTGTCAGCTCAGGCCCAGCACAGTCCCGCTACTCCGCGCCCGTGACTGTCACCACACCCGGCACCACCTGCTGCAGGCCACGCAGAGGTCAGAGCTGGTGAGCCCGCACTAGCCGCCTGCCTGCCTGTGCTGGGGGCTGTGACCCGCAGTCATCAACCCTGCCTCACGGATGGGTACGCTAAGGCTGAGGAAGGCTAAGTGGCTTGGGTCCCCCCGGAGAGAGTGGGAGAGCTGAGGTTTGAACTCGGGCCTCTGCTTGGCCCAGCATGGATCTATAACTTAACCCAACCCATTTATCACGGCAACTTGAAACTATGTCAAAAGCTGTGATAAGGCTGAGGGAATTACTCGCTCCTCAGTGTTCAGTTTTCTCTCTATTCAGAGTTCGAAATCCTAGCCCGAATGGAAGACAACCACTTGTCCCTTCATCTTTCAGATGCATTAGCAGAACTCCCCCTGAGGCGGACGCGATGGGGATGGCAAGGGTGGAGGTGGTCAGGGTGGAGTGGGGAGCTCTGCCACCCCTAGACCACACTGTCTAGGTGTGTGGGTGGAGGAGTTACGTCAGGCTTTTTTTGTGCCCTCCTGCCAACCCCCCCAGGAGTGCCTGCGGCCTCATCGCCTCCTCAGTTGCAGCGCAGGCTCCAGGCCGAGCAGCATGGGCGCGGGCCTATGACCACGACACCTGGGCCCGCAGAGCAGGGGCGCGTGCCCAGATTGGGGATGGCGGGTGGCGGCAGCACAGCGAGGGGGCCACTGCTAGGGGACGAGAGTGCCAGATGGCACGAGAACGCGGGAGATGGGGGGGGACTCCATTGCAGCCACGTGAGGCCTGGTACCTATAAACCCTCCCTCCTGAAACCATCTCCCAGATGACCGTGCCCCTGGGGAAGGCGCCACTGACTGAGCTGCTCGGCGCTGTCGGCCTCCCCCGCGGGTGTCCAGGCTTTGGTGGTGGCGGTGATGGTCACTCCTGCTGCGCTGTCTCCTGTGGGTCTGCTTTGTAGGGCTTTACAGCTGGAGGTCTGAACTGCAGCTCCTTTAAATGCTTGAAAAATTACATACAGTTAAAAATGTACCAATGAGAAAAATCCTTCCTGTTTAGCGATGTCCCCTACCTGATGCTACAGGTGTGGATTCCTTGCGATGGGTCAGAATGGAGTTTGACTGTAGCCTTGTGAGACGGGTGTGCGATCTGCCATCTAATCTGCATCTATATGTAATGGATACACCGTCAGCTGGCATTCAACAACTCTAAAACACATGGTCCGAGACACCAGTGTTCACAGCTCTTTGTGAGTTGTCGGGTTACACAGCTCTTTGAAATGCCAGGCCCAGCGCCTTTGGGGCTCCCTTCAGGCAACATCAGAGACAGGACTGAGGCCCAGTCCGTGAGAGTGCTCCGGCTGCTCGCCCTCCTTGGAGCTCAGCTGCTGGATGCTTCTTTTCCTCTTTCTTTGGAGGCTGGAACCATCTTTTTCTCTTCAGGGGCTGGCGTCTCTTTTTCGGGGACCCCCATCCTCTTCACTCAGGGGTTGGGGTCATTTTCTTTCCTTTGGGAGCTCTCCCAGCTCCCTCCAGCCCTGGCTTATATCCTCTTTCACCCGCAGTGTGATTGCACCATTTAGCACCTGACTGGTCCCTTCCAAACGGCAGTTACTGAGCTCTGAGGAGCAATTGCCATGACTGACTTGGGGTGGAGCAGCAGGGTTAGAGGACACCCCTGCTCTTGCCGGCTCCCCCCACTGAGGCGGCTGGGTTCGGTGACAGTAGCAAGTTGGCAGGGAAGCAGAGACAGCGGTAGCGGCCAGTAGAGAGCCCTCCAGGGAACGCCAGAGAGCTCAGAAAGAGTGAAGATTCGCCAGCCCCCCATCCCCCCTGCCTGCCCAGGACCTGGTTGCCGCACTACAAATGATGTAAAAAGCTCAACAGAAGCCCGAAAAAGGCACTGAGGGCTCCAGGACCCTCCTTCACCTGCCTGCCTGGGTCACAGGGAAACTGCTCCTGTGCCTTGCTGGCGCTACAGTCATCGACCCCAGGAGGCGAAAGTCAGCAGTGACCTTGCAGAAAATGGAAGAACAAGATCAAATGCTAAATAGCTTCTTTTGGTTAACAGATGCTGTCCTGTTTACTTAATTTTGAAAAAAACAAAGCCAATTACACAATGCCATGTTTTCTCGATTTCATAATCCATTGGTTTTAGTCCAGTCATGATTTTCTCAAAACAGTGGCATCCAGCCACACTATTGTTTTATTATTAAATTTTTTTTTTTTTTTTTTGTGGGACCCTCGCCGGCGGCCGGGGAACGAACCGGCACTGCAGAGGCTGCGGGCAGCCTCGCAGCCCATCGCTCAACCACTGCGCCACCCCACTACTGTTTTAAACCGTTAGGTTTTGGGGTAATTTGTGACGCAGGCATTGATCATTAATATACTCAGGTGTATCTCATCAGGAAGAATTATCAAAAGAATTACTTGTACGTAACATAAATGACATCTACCAGAGATACTGAATATTCTTAGCATTCTGCAATTCCCAGAACTGTTCTAAAATTTACACCCAAGACAGCAGTGTTGGCCTAAGTTGCACTTCTGGCTATTGCCCATGAGGGTGTGCATGCGCCCTGGGCACTTTTCTAGAGCTGGTCTGCCAAACACCACTTTCCGCACCTACCGGCTAAGAACCAACAAGTGGGAGCCTCCCTGGTGGCCTAGGGGCTCATCTCAACGCTGTCACCACTGTGGCCTGAAAGCGATCCCCGGCTAGGGAGCTGGCCCAAATGGCACAGCAGACCTCTCCTGCCTCCCTGCTGCTCCCCTCAGCAGTGGATTTCAGTAGATCCACCTGTTCTGTTCCCCACTCTGTCTCTGGTGAATCCTCTCACCCCTGCACCTCTGGCCTATACCCCAGTTCTTGTATGCATAAATACATCTTTAAAAAAAAAAAAGAACTGACAGGTGGCTAGTGTCAGACCTCTAACTACACTTGTAAGTTAACTTAGTGTCATTGTAGAAACATAAATAGGCTCTACCTCACTGTTGTTATCAATGAAAATGTACATAAGCTGCACATGGGTGAATTTCTGATTATGTGGCTAATCACTGGAAAAAACCTAGGTTTTAGGTCAACTACTGAATGATGTTCTTCATTCATTAATCACGATCTAAAATGTCCAAAGAAGATATTTTTAAGTGTCTGCAGGTTTGGGGTTCTGAAGAAGGCAAGCTTCTGCCTTCAAGGATCTGAAAAAGAGCAATTTTGTAATTGCCATTCGCTCCGCTAGCACACTGGCTTCCAGACGTCACGTTTACGGCAGCACATAGCTCAGGTTTATTTTGGTGGCATTTCTATTTTGAACAATCACTGCTTACAGGAGTTGTAGCTGTGCCCATTTTAATACACTGAAAGCATAATTTCACTGTGTCTCTATCACTATAGAGTGTCTGTAGTAGTTGCTTTGCTGTTGTGACTCACAAACACAACCCACAATTAAAAACACTCTCCTAGTGGAAAATGTGACCGAGTTGGAGAGAAGTTCTTTTGAAATGCAGCACGGAGAAGGGACAGCTGCCTGCAAGAACAGCACATTTTAATGTCAGGCCCATTTCATCCTGATATTTGAAACAAGAATGTTCCAGATCAGGGTGTACTTCTGCATTGTTCTGATGCTGCATTGGCAACAAGAGGGACAAAAATAAACAGGCTAGAAGGTCTTAAAATGAGTGAATGCCTACCTGTTGCTCTGTCAGGCCTCCCTAAGATGTATGCAGGTCAGCTGTGTGGTCTGAGCGCAGGGTCCTTCACACTGTAGTATTTATGAGGTTTCCTGGGTAGTACTTTTGGACATTTTTTGGTCTCTAAGGAAAAAATATATTTCAAAAAACCTAGAATGATATTACAAAAGGAAATTGTTACAATCTCACAAACATAAGTTCCAAGTTTGAACAAGTATTGATTTCTATTCATTTGCACAGGACTCGCCATGTCCATCCCTCAGCAGTCCATCCCAGTCCATCCCTCAGTCCATCCCACAGGACTCGCCATGTCCATTCCTCTATTAAAGACACAGGCGTCAGTGGGAAGACAGCAGTGTGCCGATGTATTCATTGCCCCGAACAAATCAACGAGGAAGAGAAAGTTCTCCAGATGGTAGCAGGACAACCAACCAATGCATGAATGCCACATCAGTGGTGACCGCTGAAGCCCTCACAGCCGTAGCCCCAAGGGGCAGGTTTAAACCCTCTTATTTCTAGAATTGCAGGACTTGAACCCAGGGGTTGGCCTCTGCGATGCTAGAGGCCAGTGGGTGGAAGTCTGACAAGGGACAGGATTTGGCTTAAAATGAATCAAACGCAAAGGGAAAAATGGCAAGGCCTGGCAGCTCCCACCTTGACCAGGTCATCAGGGTTCACCTCGCCGGGGGTGCGAAGGGGCCCTCCCGGGCCTCCCTGTGACTGCCGAGGACATGGTCACTCCATGGTCTTCTCTCAGGACTGGCCTGAGAGGGTCACGAGGAAACATGGGCCGGACTCAGGTGGCGGGTCTTGCTAGAGAAGGAAGAGCTGCCCCCGTCACACGCACCCGCTGACACCACGCCAAGCCTGCACTGGGCTTGTGGCAGCCACACTGCGACACGGCCACGACGGGGGCTCCCGAGAGCACGGCTTCCGCCCCGCATCCCCTCGGAAGAGGACATGCCCCGTCTTTTTTGCTTCAAAAATAGGGTCGCCCTGCCTATCGGAGAAGAGTGCTTTGAAAACAGGGATCATGAAGAGAAGGCGGCTCGCGTGGCCAGGCTCATGTTGAGTGTGTGAAATGAGCTGGCCGTTCCAGTGACTTCCAGGTCCCGAACAGCACAGAAATCCGTAACTGCACCTGCACCTCACGCTTTACTGGAAACCATGGAAACGTGCCACGCTCACAGTTTGGCTGTTTAGAGACAAGCTGGGTAGGTTTTGGTCACTGAAAAACTATTTTTGACAGAGCTTCAATTCGTGAGCAGGCGGCGCCCCCCAGAGGGCCGGCAGGGTCGGGACAGGCCTCTGCTCCCCCAGAGGGAGCCGGCCCTGGCCTGCCTCCTGGGCTCCAGAGCAGGTTGGGGGGCACCCTCGGCTCCCTCTCCCGCCACCAGGAGCGCCCCTTCATTTTGATCATTGATCTGATATTTCATTCTATTTAAACAAAACTTACTAAACCCCCCAATGTCACGTGTCTTACTCGAGAATGTTCACTGCATTCATTCGACACATCCCCGAGTGCTCCGGGGAGCGGCTGCGCGTGGGGGCCGGCATGATGGACACCAAGGCAAACAGCTGCTTCTGCAGCGCTCCCGTGGGTGATAACGCGGCCCCCGCCTGACTGTTGTCATGTGTTAGAGGAAAGGGGCAGCCCTGCGCGGACACGGGACAGACACCTGTGCGGCCCGGCCGGGGCAGCGGGACGGTGGGCAGGGAGGGCGCAGCAGACAGAGGACGGGGCAAGGCCTGGGGACTGGCCTCGAGAAGAGCAGTGATTCTGGAGGTGCTGAGAGGCAGGTAGGGGTGAGCAGCTGCAGGCTGGGAGCAGTGGGAGGCCGGGAGGGGCTATCAGCCCCGCCTGGCCTGCGGGGGGTCACGCTGGCTGTGGTGTGGAGGAGGGAAGGGCAGAGGGCTGGGGCAGGGCAGGCGGTGGCTCGGACTGAGGCATCAGTGAGGGTGAAGAGAGAGATGAGAGAGGCGCCAGGAGACCGGGGTGGGGTGGGGTGCGCTGGATCTGGGGTGAGGGAAGGGCCCCCCTGAGCTCCCAGTGGAGCGTCCCAGTGGGCAGGGTGGTGGCGATGGGGCGTTTGAACTGGAGGTGTCTGAGAAGTATGGAGAGGTGATGTCACTCAGCTAGATGGACACGGGTTCAGCCAGGAAAGGGGGCCACGCTGCCCGAGCAGGCAGGCAGGGGGTAGGGGCTTGAGGCTAAGGTCAGAGCACAAAGAGGCAGACCTGGAGCTTTGGGACCGCCATGGCAAGGAGCTTCGCAGAGAAGGAGCCAGAAGGGTGCTGGGAGGAGGTGCGGATACCAAGAAAGACAGTGTGCCCAGCGCGAGGAGGGACAGCGGTGTCCCATGCGGTGCTGCTGAGGCGAGACAGCCGGGAGAGGTCTGATCAGTGCTTCCTGCTGCAGCGTGAAGTGGAGACGAGAGCCGGCTGAACGTGGCCGTTCTCTTGAAAGCTTGCCCGTGGAGCGGCGGGAGGCTGGGTTAGGAAGGGGAGCGAGGTGTCATGGGAGAGGATCTTTCCTTCTGCTGTGGTGGGCAACTCGGGCGTGTGAAAAGTCAGGGGAGACAGGGGCTCAAAAGAGAGAGAACGGGTAGCCCAGGGCAAAAACCTGGGGGTTTGAGGGGGCGGGGAGTGGGGGAGGGCAAATAGATGGGGCTGATGGAGGCCAGGCTGGGGTTTTGATGGTGCAGATTGGGCGATTCCCTTAGATTTAAGTTCCTCTGTGAAGCGACAGCACAAGGGGGATGTGGGAGATCAGCTCTGGATAAAGGGGGTTTGCGGTCTGCAGCCTTGGGTGGGTGTGGCCCTCAGGACTGCATCGCTTTGGTCAATGAGGGTCTCACCAGATGGAGAGCGGAAAAGTGGGGGCTGGAGGCCTGCAACTGGCCAGGGCACAGGAGCGTGGGGGTCATCAGACCCCCCAAGGCAGCACGCCGTGACCAGCCAGGGTGTCAGCGCCAGGGACTCACTGTGGAAATGTCTCCCTTTCAATTTGCCTTTGTGGGTGCTTCTCTAAAGTGGGAAAAACAGGGGACACACAAAGCCAAAGCCTCCCTGCCCTTAGCCTGGATTAAAGCTCCCGCCACAGTTACGCTCTAGGAAAACTCGCATCTATCCCCACGAAAACCGACGGGCATCTGCCCATTTCAGCTGGTGGGTCAGGGGAAGGTGCGTGTGTGGCCTTTTCGACCTGGTTTAATGACCAGCCTTTTCTACCTGGTTGCACTTCTCAAAGTGTGTACCGAAAATACTGCGTTTTCTATGGAAACGCCCCCATGTCTCTGCTCTCACTCAGGGAAAATATTCTGACATTCCTGGGCCGTCTGTGCCCGAGGCAGGGAGGGACCAAGGGGGGACGCATGAAGAGGCTGGCGAGGTCACGCTGGCACCAGCGAGGCGGCCCAGGCGCGGCAGGGGGCTGGAAGACGCGTGAGCCGACCGGAGGTGCAGGGGAAGGCCCAGGAGTCAAGGAGGACGCCAAGGCCTGGCCAGGTAGCAGGGCGGCTCCCAGTAACTGAGTGGGTCCGAGTGTGAGGGGGCAGGTGAGGGGGCGGCAGGTGAGGGGGCAGCAGGTGTAGGGGCAGCAGGTGAGGGGGCAGGTGAGGGGGCGGCAGGTGAGGGGGCAGCAGGTGTAGGGGCGGCAGGTGTAGGGGCAGCAGGTGAGGGGGCAGGTGAGGGGGCGGCAGGTGAGGGGGCGGCAGGTGTGAGGGGCGGCAGGTGTAGAGGGGGCAGGTGAGGGGGCGGCAGGTGAGGGGGCAGCAGGTGTAGGGGCAGCAGGTGTAGGGGCAGCAGGTGAGGGGGCAGGTGAGGGGGCAGCAGGTGTAGGGGCGGCAGGTGAGGGGGCGGCAGGTGAGGGGGCAGCAGGTGAGGGGCGGCAGGTGAGGGGGCAGCAGGTGTAGGGGCGGCAGGTGTAGGGGCAGCAGGTGAGGGGGCAGGTGAGGGGGCAGCAGGTGTAGGGGCGGCAGGTGAGGGGGCGGCAGGTGAGGGGGCAGCAGGTGAGGGGCGGCAGGTGAGGGGGCAGCAGGTGTAGGGGCTGCCGACGGGCGCCCCCCCGGCGAGCTCCCGCGGGGCTGGCTGCGGGGCGGGCGTGCCGGGGCTCGGGCAGGGGCAGGGGCGGCGGGCGGCGGAGAACGCCCGGGCCGGGGAAGGAGCGCGCCGGCGCTGCGGGCGGCAGGATGAGGCGCGGCGGAGGGCGCCCGCGGGAGGCCCTGCGCGCCGAGGGTGTCGTGGTTGCCCCCCTGCCCCCGCTGCCCCTCGGCGACGCGGCGGGAGCCTGGCGCGGGCGGGAGGCTCCTCCGTCCGCCCGACGCCGCCGAGCGCCGGCCCCGTCACCGACTGCAACGCGGGCGGGGCGGGGCCCGGGCGGGGCGGGGCGGGCCGGCCCGGAGGCTCGGCGGGGCCGGGCGGGGGCCTCGGCGGCGGCGGCGCGGCCGTTACCTGCTCCGCGGAGCCCTCGGTCGGGGCGCGTCGCCATGGAGACGCGGGCGCGGGGCCTGCTGGGACGCGGCGGGGCGGGGCGGGGCCTGAGTCGGGCGCAGGCGCACTCGGGCCGCTCCGGCCACGCCCCGTCCCCCGGGTCAGGGCGGGGCGCGGCGCGTGTCCTGCGGCCTCCGGCGCCCGCTGTCTGCGCCCGCGCCCCTACCCCGCGGGGTCCCGGCCGCGCAGCCGCGTGGGCCGCCCCGGGCGACGCGCCCCCCGGCCCCGAGGGGTGGCTGCCGGCGCGGGCGGGCGGGCGCCGCGGCCCCGGCCAGGGGAGGCCCGGGGGTTCGGGGCCCGCGGCCGCCCCGGCGGGCGCGCGCGTTTGCCGGGTTCCCGGGAGCCGCCGGGCCGGGCTGCGGGCTCGGGGCCGCGTCTCGGCCGGGCAGGGCTGGGCCGGGCGCCCGCGAGCTGTCGCCTTACAGCAGGACATCCCCTGGGGGGGGAAATGCGCTCACAAGGCAGCGCTTGTCCGGCGCCCCCAGATTAGACTGTCCTGGAAGGTGTGACCCCAGAGCAAAGGACACATGTTAACACGAAACACGCGTTTATTTGTGTTTTTATTTTGTTTTGTTTATTTTTAAGATTGATTTATTTTATACAAGAGCTGGGGTACATTTCAGAGGCGCGGGAGGGTGAGAGGCTTCACCAGAGCCAGAGCGGGGAGCAGAGCAGGCAGAAGGACCGAAGGACACTGCTGAGGGGAGCAGCGGGCGGCCCGAGAGGTCAGCAGCGCCATGTGGGTATCTCCCTGGCTGGGGGATCGAACTCTAGCTGCAGTGGCTGTGGATTGCTTCATAGGTTGTGTCTTAACCCCTGGCACCACCAGGGAGGCCCAGGACTTTGTGTTTTATTAAATACCATTTGGAGGGGGCCTCCCCGGTGGCGCAGCGGTTGAGCGCTGGGTTGCGAAGCTGCCCGCAGCCTCTGCAGCGCCGGTTCGATCCCCGGCTGCTCCCCGGCCACCGGAGGAGGGTCCCACGTGGCGCGCAGACCTCCCCTGCCGCCCGCTGCTCCCCTGAGCAGTGGATTTCGTCAGTCTGCCTGTTCTGTTCCCTGCTCTGTCTCTGGTGAATCCTCTCACCTCCGCGCATCTGGCCTGTACCCTGGTTCTTGTATAAATAAATAAATAAAAAAAAATAAATCTTAAAAAAAAAATCTGTAATTGCTAGTCACTGAAATTTGGGGGCCATTAATGACCTTCGCTAAGGGCAGATTTGCTGGAGTAGTTACGTTTGCCCGTCGAGGGACTAAGTCAGCTCTTGGTAATTTTAATGGTTCCTGCTGATGAGAGTGAGTTTGAGCTGTGCCAGGGCCCAGGGTGTCCCTATCACAGCAGGCACCCCGGAGGGAAGGGGCGGGCCTCCACCACTGTGCCGGAGAGGGAGGATGGGGCTGGTGCTGGAAACCTCCCAGGAAGTCAGGCCACCCCCTTCGTGAGTAGCAGGGGACTAAAAAAAGGGGGCGGGGGCAGCTCAGTTACCTAAGAGGACCAAGTCTCCCGCTGCCTTTGCTCCCGGTGCTCTGGATTTGGAAACCCATCCAAAGAGTGAGGTGATCAGCACTTGGGCTTCTTCCTAGGCTTTGAAGTCCTCTAGCTCTGGACCCAGTTCCAGTGCTCTTTACAGACGGACGCGTGGAGCCCTTTGCAAACATCATCTATTCGTCTCCAGCGTCTCGAGGGCGAGAAGACGATTTGCTTGACCAGGCCATGGCGCTGACCCTGCAGCCCGGCCCTGGTCAGCTCCTGTTCTTTAGGACCAACAGGCGGGCGCCGAGACACCGGACACAGCTGCTCGCAAAGGAGCGGATCAGATGACGCTGGACGGGCTTTATTTTTAAAATCTGCCAGAACATTTTCAAGCAGGAGGCCGAGGCCGCGCTTCTGTTTATTCAGCCACCTCTGGCCTCTCCTCCACTATTTGCCAACGGCCACAAGGCCTCCCGGCTCCTGCAAGCCGCGTTTTCTGGGCTTTTCCAGGTCCCCAGAGCTCGTCCCTCCCCGCTTTCTTGGGGGGGCCCCCTCCCCTACCCTCCCCTCCCCTCCCCTCCCGGGCTGCTCCCCCGCCTCTGATTGGTGCGCGCGCGGCCTGGCCTTATAGGGCCTGCTGCAGGCGCGCCCAGGCGATAAGGGACGGGGCCAGCGGCCGCTTTTATCAGCCAATCAAATATTTCCCTGACAGATCCCACAAACTCCGGGCCAATGGAGGGGAAAGCGGGCGCGCCCCCCTGCCTCCCGCGGGGTCACGCTGGGGACCGGCGGACGCAGGGGTGTGCTGGGGGGAGCCCTCTCTCCGCGGGTCGACATGGTTATCAAAGTGTTCGTGGCCACATCTTCTGGGTCCATCGCGGTAGGTGTCCGAGGGGGTGGTCGGGGCTGGACTCGATGCTGTTTTCTGAGTCACTCAGCTGCACAGCGCAGGAGCCGGTGGCCAGCGTGGGTGCTGCCTTTCTTTTGGGGCCCCCTGTAGGTCTCCCCGCCTCTGCACGCGCCCTTGTTTGTTTGCCTGGTGTTGAAGAAATGCATAAAGCGCGTATGTTAACATGCCGCTTGTATGTTCACATGTCACCTGTGCTCTGGGTGTTGTGGAAGCAGAGGGGCGTGCGTTTCCGCCATTCATTCTGTAAGCCTGACACTAAAGGTGCAAATAAGTGACACTTTGCGTGATGTTTGCACCTGGGACAGGCAGGTGACGAACATGACTCCCCGTAGTAATTACTTGTGCATGCAACATAACCAGACCCAAACTTAGCCTGTGTAATAATACTATTATTTGAGGAAAATGATGTCACAGTGACTGACAAGAACAAGCATGTCTAAGGCCACCTTTTTAAATGCTCTAGGAATTCAAGCAGATGAGAAACAGGCGCTCAGCAAGCGCCTGTCCTGCGTAGCACTGCTTTGTCCGCTTTCCTTGAGCCCCCTGGCGTCACCTGCCCACCTCTCCCCTCCTAGCCTCGGTGCTGTGGGATACAGACCTGCCTGAAGAATAGGTCACGGTGACTCCCGTCCCCCTGGAGAGGATTCAGGCTTTGATTCTTGCTTTGAACTTGTGTCTGGGATTGGCGTTTGCACCAGCGATTCAGCAGAAGTTGGGCTGTGGACAGAGAACACTTTATTCGCCCTGAGAGCTGAAGACCCGCAGTGGGCAGTTTCCTTTTATATCCAGGTCCCGGCCCATCTCGGGTTGCAGCTGGGGTGTCTGTGCTTGCTCAGCCAGGACGTGGTACCTTCAGGCGGTGCTGGCTCGGGGAGCAGTCCCCAGGCCTGGCTGACTACGCTGTCCCAGCCTGGTCAACAGACAGGGAGAAAGAAAGGACCCTGACTGTCCCATCAGAGCCGAACTAACTCATCAGCAACTATTTAGTCATGTCTAGATCATCTTTGAACAGACAAAGGCGAGGAAAAATTCCAGGTGTAAAACTGCAGAAATCTTTTGTGACTGTTGAAGACCCCAACACCTTTACTTATGTACAACGAGCACATATTTTTGGATTATTTGGATGAATTGTAACTTGTTGAGGAAAGTGGCTTTACTTTTGAGGACAGTTATGCTGTCGATGCTCGCTGGAAACGCCTGGTATCTTCTGTAGCCCACCTTTGAGGGGCCCCATATAACTTCCTGAGACAGTGAAGAAACTCAAAGATTTCTTAGGGTTACTTGATAGGCTGCATTCTTGAAGGCTGGAAGCAGGATCTAGTTAGCTGTGAAGGATCTTGGCAACGCCAAGTTAATGGTTCTGCAAGCAAATGTTTTGGGGCCACTTGGGACTGTGTGACCTTGGAAAAGTCACTTCACTTTGCTAAGTCTTGGTGCCTTGTCTGTAAAATGAGGACCCGAATAGTCCCCATCTCATGTCATGAGGACTTAGGAAGGGGGTGTCCCTATGATGTCAGTGATTAACCAGGATTCAATAGGTATTAGTAGTAGCTAGTGTTACGATCACAAGCTGTTTTTAATATTATAACTAAGTTGATAACTAATGGTTAATATTAATTAATATAGCTGTAGTTATAATTATTACTTAATATGAATAGATCTGAGTTTACAAAGATTATATTTCAAAAGAATCGCCCCAAGTTACATAAATGGAAGTTTCTGTTTCATCCTAATAAGAACTGGCTAGCCCTGTGGTGTCACTGCTGGCGATTCTTCCTGGGAGGCGGATTTCACCCAGAAGCTTCTGCAGGAGAACCCTGGAGCAGCCGCCACCTTGGGCTGCCCCGGGTGGCGGTCAGTCTGCAAACCCATTACACTTACTTTCTTCAGCCCAGGTACTTAGAAGTGCTCGAGACCTAGCCAGGAGCGCTTATGATTTCTGTGGGATGCATGAAATAGATGAAAAGGAAAAAAGAAAAACAAAACCAACAAATTGTCATCTCTTTGGGAGGGTCACTGCCTTCCCAGCAGGGACAGAAGGGAACCTCCAGGCACTGTCCTTTTTTTTTTTTTTAAAGATTTATTTATTTATGCATACAAGAGCTGAGGTACAGGCCAGAGAAGCAGGGGGTGAGAGGACTCACCAGAGACAGAGTGGGGAGCAGAACAGGCAGACTGACTGAAATACCCTGCTGAGGGGAGCAGTGGGCGAGATAGGAGAGGTCTGCCTCGCCATGTGGGTTGCTCCCTGGCCGGCCGGGGATTGAACTCATATTGCAGAGGCTGTGGATTGCTTCATAGTGGCCTGCTTAACCCCTTGCAGCACCAGGGAGGCCTAGGCAGTGTCCTTTTATGACATGACAGTGACCTCTGCTGGAAGGCTCCCAACTGTACAAGACAATAAACTAGAGGTGCCAAGGGAGTGACCCAAAGGTCACTGTCACGCGTGATGGAAACTAGCTGTGGTGCCAGGAGACTTCTGGCCAGAGAACGGTACCACCCAAATAGCAGAGGGAGACAGCCCCGGCAAAGGCCCCGAAGGTCCCAAATGAGACTGACCACAGGGGCATGAGTCCTTCAGAGGGGCTGCCCAGAAAGATGGTGCAGTCTGGGAGCCACATTAGCCAAGGCACCCCAGAATGGGGGAAGGGGCTGGAAGCAGAGCTGGGGTGTGTGCTGCCCCTGGGGTGCCCCTGTGCCATTCCTCCCCTGGAGCCATAAAAGAAAGGGTAGCGCCCTGGGAGAGGCTGAGGTCTGTCCCTGCAGCTCAGCTCAGGAGGCCCCATGGGGAAGGGTCACCTGGGTGCCCTTAGCAGGGACCCACCAGGGGAGGGCTGCAGGGGGAGGGCCACCACGAGGGGAGGGTAGGCATCAGGGTAGGCCAGGGACCAGGGCCAGCTGGGTGAGCTCACCTGTGCCCCACTGTGGGGTGGGGGAGCGGCTGGCCCAAGACCTTCTCCAGCCCCAGGCAGAGCTCACAGGCTGCAAAGGGCAGCAGCAGCTGTGCATTGGCCTGGTTTGTTATAATGTATTTATTCATTTTAAAATTTAATTTAAAAAATCAAAGTGACTTTAGCATACAGTGCTGTATAGGTTTCAGGTGTATAGCCTTTCGCCCCAGCAGCTGTATCATCCGTGCTCACCCCAAAGGTCCATCACCACCCAGCACCCAGCACCCCCCAACTCCCTGCTTCCCCTTGGGGACCTCCACCTGACTTCAGGCTCTAAGTTGGCCCAGTTTAAATCACTGGTTGTTCGGGGAGCAGGTGGGGGCAGATTTACATCTCTTTTCACAGGGTTGGGGGGCTGAGCAGTAGCACTGACAGTACCAGGCATCCACCCCCCCAAAGCTCCCCCTGGGGGCAGCTGATGTCCCACAAAGAGCCACAACAGGTTCCCCCTTCGTCTTTCCAACTCGCTGACTTCCTTACAAGAAGAAAGCAAGGCAGGATCTGTGCTCGGGAGCTATGGAGGCCAGTGGTGCCCTGTCCCCCTCCGGGCCAGGGCCAGGGCCAGGGGAGAGAGATGGAAATAGCGGAGCCAAGCGGTGTGGACCTGGGCCAGCCTGATCCGGGCTCCTGGGAGGGCATTTGAGAAGGGTTTTGGAAGGAGGGTTTGGACGGAATAAAGATGTTGCCGTCTGAACACTCAATTAAAGGTAAACCCTCCTAAAATAAAGATCCCTCCTCTTGGTAACAGCAAAATTGTCTCTGAAAACATCTAAAGCAACGTGTGATGTAGAAATGGCCCTGACCAGCATGGGCGGCTGGAAAGTGCGTGCAGAGAATGTGGTTAACTAAAACGATAATTTGGTCCAACAGCCTGTCATCGGGTCGCATGGGGTTTTGTAATATTCAGAAATTCATCTGTCAAGCCCTGGGATTTGGAGTAGGATTTCAAGAGGAGGAGCGGAGGGCGGGAGCAGGGCCAGCAGCAAGGGCGGCTCCTCTGTTGGCTCCACAGACACGACCCCGAGGAAGGTGCCAGAATTTTAAGGCTCTTTCCAGCACCCACAATTTTGTTTTTTGTCCATGCTCGCCCCAGAGCCCATTAAGTGCCGCATCGCAGCCGGTAGCCGTCTTTAATTGATTGATTTAATGCTTCTGGGTGCAATGTCTTTGTTAGGTGATGGTACAAATGTTAATTAAAAAGTGTGTGATTACTCTGTATAGGTGCACATATAATTTATATATAGAAAATATTTACTTTATGTGAACTTTTAAATGTTTAAAATTTATCTGATATTTATATATTTGTTAATATATTAATTTATATTTATATTTATATTGCTACTGATAGCAAATTCTACATAAATTCTTTTTAAGCATAATTATATACAGACATGTTCATGGTACAGATGTTAATTAAAAATTAAGTGCGTGATTACCACTTATATGTATGTGTGGATACATAATTTACATACAGATGATATTTACTTTATATTTTTTAAAACTGAAAATATTTTAGTATTTATATTATAATGAATATACTATAGACAACTCATCACTGAAGACAGTTTCTATATAAGTTCTATATAAATATAATTACAGATTATATAAAAATAAATATAAGATTTATATAGAATTTGTCTTTGGTGGTGACCTCATTCCAGAGTTTAAGCACCCATATGTGCCTTGTTTTTCCTTTTATTAAGCAAGTATGAGTCATTAATCAAATCATTCATTTTAACAAAAATTAATAAAATAGATCTTGGGGTGAAGTGTATAGATCTCTAAAGGGTTTGAATCCAGAATTAGGTTTGAGCTGGCATGTGTGTTTTACAGCATTTTTGGGAACTCTCAAAGTCTATTCCTTGGTGGATAAATTACATGAAAATAGCGAGAGGGCTCACACCATGCAACATATTTGTAATGACTCCTTTTCATTATGAGGCAATATTCAGCTGACTTTAAGAAATTGAGATATTACATATTTTCATATCAATGAAAATGTTCATTTAAATTTCTTTTTTTTTCCTAAAGATTTATTTATTTATTTACACAAGCGCTGGGTACAGTCAGAAACGCGGGAGGCTGAGAGAATTCACCAGAGCCAGAGCAGGGAGCAGAGCAGGCAGAAGGACCGAAGTACACTGCTGAGGGGAGCAGCGGACGTGGCAGGAGAGGACTGTGTGCCATGTGGGACCCTCCCAGGCAGCCGGGGATCGAACCTGCGCTGCAGAGGCTGCGGGCAGCTTTGCAACCCAGCGCTCAACCGCTGCGCCACTGGGGAGGCCCTGTTCATTTAAATTGCTAATCTTTAAAGAAATGACCCTCTTTGCCTCTTTGACATTGTTAAGATGTCCTATATCTAGATTGTACAAACGAGGTCCCCACATTTTTCTCACCCAAATGAGTGGTTTGTGAGTCCATCCCCATGCAGAGGGCAGCACAGGAGTTTTGGGCAGAGCAGGGGGACAGAGGACTGGTGATCAGTGATTCGATGGACCCTCTGGACGTCTGTCCCCCAGTTCTTAAAATGGGCTCCACAGAGTCTGCTGTTCCTGTGTACCGTGTTTAGCAAGGAAGGCACCACTTATTTCCAGGAGCAAATCTTTCGATGAAGAGAGAAAATTGTTGGAGCAGATACAAAGATGTAAATCTGTTCTACCTCAATAAACATAATTTGGGAAAAAATGCAACCATTTAAAAAAAAAAATCGTGCTTGTTTGTTGGGAAGGATTTGTAAGCTCAGAAGGTGGCCAAGCGGATCCGAAATGGCAGTTGGTAGAGACAGTCTCTGCTTGTGAAGCCGGGGTGGAGAAGTGGCCGCGGGGTGTTTGCTACTGAAGAAGGACTCAGGTGTGGGCAGAGGAGGGGGATGGGGGACAGGTGCTGCATTGCTGGTAGGAGAATATCCACCAGTCTTTTCTATCCTTTTCTCTGCCCTTCCCCTTCCTACACCTCCCTGTGGGCTGTCACTTTCCTGTGTTCTTCCTAACACTACTTTCTTCAGTGTGACTGATAACTTTGAAGTGCGTTTTACAATGGTCAGACTTGGAATTTCATAGTAGATAGTCTTTCTCTCTTTTCTTCTTTCTCTTCTCTCAGTCATATCTCTTCTGAACTAATTTTAGATACAGATTGGCCATTGAAACTTAGCTGGGAATTAAAAGTATTTTGAAGACCTCCAATAAAAGCTACAATGAAAGCATTTCTATTCTTATTATGCTGGTTATGCCATGATTTAAACATTGTGGAAATTAAAATTTTAGAATTTAAATCATTCTTTTATCCTTTGTAATGAAGAGAGTATAATGGACCCATGTGATTTTATTGTGCTCCTTATTAAAATATTCCAGAAATTATTCATGTTATATGATAGAGCTGGAGACAAGATATCACATTTACATAATATTTTTCAAAAATAGTCTCATAATTATCTTTCTCTATTCTTGAACAGATTAGGAAGAAACAGCAGGAAGTAGTGGGCTTTCTGGAAGCTAATAAAATCGACTTTAAGGAGTTAGACATAGCTGGAGATGAAGACAACAGGAGGTGGATGAGAGAGAACGTTCCTGGAGAGAAGAAACCTCAAAATGGAATTCCGCTGCCTCCCCAGATCTTCAATGAAGAACAATACTGTGGGGTGAGTACCTGTCTTCTTGGAAGTTTCTTCTGTAAGTGTGTTTATCAGAAATTACTTAAAGCGGACTAATTTGGGGGCAGCTTTGAACATGGCTCGCAATTTTCAGGTCATGACCAGTTTACACCCCCCAATACCTGGATGGCAGATCTGTGGTGAATAATCAATAGTTAAGATTTAGATAATGATGGCAATAATAAAGTAAAGGTTGAACATTTCCATGATCCAGAGTTTCAGAAGGGGATTATTTTAAGTTCCTTATTTTATGTAGAAGAAATTGAGGTCATTTGTTAGAACTGATTGTGTTTTGCTTGGGAAGGAATGCTAATCAACCTCTCAGATTCAGAGGTGCACACGGTGTGTTAGTCATGAAGAAAGATTTTCAGGTGTGTTGTCTTTCCATTCACGCAAGGTAAAATTATCTAAGTAGTTTGAAATGGTTGCATTTTAGCTACAATGTCATTTTATTTTATACATTAAATAGTTCAGTTGACCATAAAATCACATTTTTTTCAGAGTTTATAGGTTCTACTTAGTAAATCAAATTGTTGAAAAGAAACATTTAAAACCCGAAAGGGCTTTAGAATGTGAGAACTGGGTGTTGTCTTAGGGGTTCTCTAAGTGTGTACTGGACCTTTTTCTCCTGCTGTATCCCAGGTAGACAGCGGGCATTGTGTCCACGAGCTCCATGTAATGGACTTCTGCTGCATGATGAGTGTTTGACTTGCTTCTTTCACCAACATATTTTAAAGATATATTTTTATGTATTTATGCATATAAGAACTGGGGTGCAGTCCAGAGGTGTGGGGGTGAGAAGATTCCCCAGAGACAGAGTGGGAAGCAGAACAGGCAGATCTACTGAAACATACTGCTGAGGGGAGCAGCGGGTGAGTCAGGAGAGGTCTGCTGCACCATGTGAGTCAGCTCCCTGGCCGGGGATGGAACTTATGTCCTAGTGGCTGGCGATAGCTTGATAGTGCTGAGACTTAACCCCTGTGCCCCCAGGGAGACCCACACCCATGTTGGATGGACCGAGAGGGAATTACATTCAGTGAAATAAGTTTGGTCTTTCCGTCACTTGGTGGTGTGCAGAGAAGCCAAGCAAGGAGATGAACTAAATTAAACAAAAAGAAACACTTAGAGTAGGAGACCAGTCAGTGGTTGCTGGAAGGGAAGCAGGGGCGAGGGGCCATTTGTAAGTGAAGCATAGAACTGGAATCTGGTTAACTTAACATAGTCCACGCACACATTGATTTTTAGCGACACCCACCTGAGACGCACCTAGTGCCATCACACCATGCTCTGCAGTGAGAGAGCTGTGTTCGTGTTGGTGGGCGTTGATGGGTTTATTCATTTTTGCAGCTCCAGAACAGACATTGGACTCTTCAGTCTATTGGGGACTATAACAAAATACTTCACCTGAGTGCTCATAAAGAGCAGAGAAGTACTTCCCACGGTCTGGAAGCCCGGGTCACGGTGTCGTGGTCCTCAAGTTCTGGGCGGGAGCCTCTTCCCAGCTTGTGGATGGCATCTTCTTGCTGTGGCAGAAGTGGTGGAAGGATTAGGGAGGAGGGCTGGTCTCTCTTATAAAAGCACCAACCCTACTTGTGGGCCTCCAGTCTTGTGACCTGGGCACCTCCACCTCTTATTTCGGTCATCTTTGGGGGAGGGGGATGGTTAGGGTTTCAACATATGAATTTTTGGGGAAACCAAGCGTCCAGACCACAGCACTGCTCCCAACAATGCTGCTAAGTGAATGCTCTTGACAGGCTGTTGCTGACTGGCGAGTTCTCCTAGGCGCCAACGCAGCAGTGGGGAGGCTGGTCCACCAGCATGTGCCATTGTGACAGGTAATACAACGTGTTCTCACACATGGCTCTGCCCACTCGCAGCCCATGGGTAGTGGCGAGAGTTTTCAACATCTCACATCCTCACCAGCCTTTGCCTGGACTCACGTATATTTCTGCAAACCCTCTCTTGCCTCTCCCTAACGCCTTAAACATCTGTTTTTTTTTTTTTAAATAGTATTTTAGTTTCTTTTTCTTTTCTTTTTTTTTTTTAAAGATTTATTTATTTATTTATGCATGCACTGGGTACAGTCAGAAGCGCGGGAGGGTGAGAGAATCCACCAGAGCCAGAGCGGGGAGCAGAGCAGACAGAAGGACCGAAGGACACTGCTGAGGGGAGCAGCGGGCGGCAGGAGAGGTCTGCGCGCCACGTGGGACCCTCCTCTGGTGGCCGGGGAGCAGCCGGGGATCGAACCCGCGCTGCAGAGGCTGCGGGCAGCTTCGCAACCCAGCGCTCAACCGCTGCGCCACCGGGGAGGCCCAGTATTTTAGTTTCTTGATCTTCATCCCATCCCACAAATTAGACACTTACTGTTTTTACAATTAATGTTTTTTTAAATTTAGATTTATCCACCTATCTGTTAATGCTATTGTTCATCATTCCTTCTGGCATCTTAGAATAATTTTTCTCCTATGTAAATACATCCTATAATAGATTCAAATGAGAGTCCACTGGTGATAAATTCTCTCAATTTTTATCTGTTGCAAAAAGATCTTTTTCCAGGTAAATGTCTTTACTTTGCAGGTTGGTGGTTATTTTTTTCTAAACATGTTGAACTTATTTTATTTTCAACTGACCCCTGTGCTGCTGTTGAGCGGTCAGCGTGGATCTCGCCAGCCGTCTGCTGCGGGGAGGCCGTTTTCCTTCCCTGCCTCCCACCCGCCATCCCTCCTGCCCTGTTTCCTCTCCCTTCAGCCTTTTTCCCTGACTGTTTTTAATAATCCTTCTCTAGGACATGGCTACGTTGAGTCCTTCTTATTTGTTCAGTTGAGGATTGTGTGGATGTCCCGAGTCTAAGGATTGGTATCTTCCAACAAATTTAGAAAATCATAGGCCATAACATGGTTGACTATGGTGTCCACTTCTTTGTTGGTTTTCATTTCGCTGCTGGTTTCACTGGTAGGTGTTTGTGAGAATTTTCCACTCTGTTTCCCTATAATATTTCTCTTACTTTTTTTCATCTCTTTATCCTTCTCTAAATAATATCTTTGGTTGAATCTTCCAGTCAGCTAATTTTCTCTTCAGATGTGTCTGATGAACTCATCCACATATTTTGGATTTTCTGTCTTAGTTATGGCATTTCCATTCTTGGTACTTTTTAGGTCTTTCCTAAATTTGCTTGATTTTTTTGGTCTAATTTGTTCATGTCTTTTTTGGTTTCAAGCTTCTCTCTCATTTCTTTAGATATATTAAATGTAGATAACGTACATTTTCTGGTAGTAATTCCAATGTCTGATCCTGATTTCTGATTCTGCCTGAATTTGTGGATTTCTTTGACGCTTGGAAATAATTTTTTCTAGTTTCCTGGGAGTGCCAGCAAAGATAGAACCCTTTTCTTTTTATTTATTTATTTATATTCCTTTTTTTATTATTATTTTATTTTTATAATCCCCATACAATTGCGACTCCCTTATTATGACCCCAATCCCTCCCCTCCCTGCCCCCCACCCCCCATAGAGTGTCTCTGGTTCATAGTTGTTTGTTGATTTTGATTTTTACTTTCTTATGGTTATTCTTTTTCCTGGTCCCTTATAAGTTTTCTAGATTCCTGCTATGAGTGAGACCATCCGGTATTTTTCTTTTTCTTTCTGGCTTATTTCGCTGAGCATGATCCCTTCCAGCGCCATCCATGTTGCTGCAAATTGCATGTGTTTATCTTTTTTGAATGCTGAGTAATATTCCATGGTATATATGTACCACATCTTCTTGATCCAGTCATCTATTTTTGGGCATTTGGGTTGTTTCCAAAGCTTAGCTATTGTAAACAGTGCTGCTATAAACATAGGGGTGCAGGTGCCCTTTTGAATTTATGTTTCTGTGTCCTTTGGGTAAATACCTAGGAGTGGAATTGCTGGATCATATGGAAGCTCTATGTTTAGTAGGTCCAGAAATCTCCACACAGCTCTCCATAGTGGTTGGACCAGTTTGCACTCCCACTAACAGTGCAGTTCCTTTTTCTCCACAACCTCGCCAGCATTTGTTGTTGCTAGTTTTTTTAATATGTACCATTCTCACTGGTGTAAGATGGTATCTCATGGTAGTTTTGATTTGCATTTCCCTGATGACAAGTGATGTTGAACATTTTTTCATATGCCTGTTGGCCGTTTGCATTTCCTCTTCAGAGAAGTTTCTTTTTAGCTCTTCTGCCCATTTTTGGACTGGATTATTTTCTTTGTTTTGTTGAGTCTCATCAGCTCTTTGTAGATTTTTGTGATCAGTCCTTTATCATTAGTGTTGTGTGCAAAAATGAAGATAGAACCCTTTTCAATTAAGAATCCCAGTTAAGATTTTCTGGACCACACATGTCATGGGAATTTGGAATGTGAACTCTCATGAGTTGTGACTGGTGACCATGAATTCTCAGGGAAAAGGTTTTCCCCACCACTGAGCACCAAAGTTGAATTGGGCAAGTCTGTTCTTCATGGCTCGGCTGTTTCCATTTGCTGTTACACTGAGGGCAGAGCCCCCTCGGGGTGCTGGAGTGCGTGTGAGTGTGTGTGCACATCCTCCCTGTGTTGTAATGGAATTGTAAGGTAAATGTAATGTTTGCTATTCAATATCTTAACTGTGGGGTTAGTCACCTTTGACAAGGCAAGTTGGGGTATGTATGCTCTTGTGTTCCATGCTAACTTATTGCCTGATGGATAAAAAGATCAGCTTAGGTAAATATATGGCTCGCAAGTGCGCATGGGGCTTAAACATTCTTTTCCTTTGCTTCAAGGATTTTGATTCTTTCTTCTCTGCGAAAGAAGAGAATATTATTTATTCGTTCCTTGGTTTGGCTCCCCCTCCAGGCTCAAAGGTAAGCTTGACCTCCATGGGGCCGGTAACAGCTCGTAGTAAATGAGGTGGAGATGAGCATCACAACTGTTAAAACATGGTGATCTTTAAGTTAACATGATTTTAATATTTATTATTCTGATGAAGCCTTGTGTATTGAGATAATACAAGGTTTTTACTAAGACACAAATGTTCCAAATTTATGCTTTTCTTTCTTTCTTCCCTTCCCAGATTTATTTATTTATTTACTTACTTACTTATTTATGCATAGAAGAACTGGGGTGTAGGCCAGAGGTGTGGGGTGGGTGGGTGAGAGGATTCATCAGAGGCAGAATGGGGAGCGGGTGAGACAGGAGAGGTCTGCTGCGCCCTATGTGGGTCAGTTCCTTGGTCAGGGATCGAACTCAGGCCACAGCGGTGATAGCACTGAAACTTAACCCCTATGCCATCAAAGTTATGTTTTTCATATTTTTTGCTATGATAACACCTTGGTACAGTAAGTTTTATAATACCTGAGTTACATATCATTGCGCTCAGTAATCTTAAATACATCAACTAAATATGTAAAAATATAAGTTCCCAGGTTGTGCTTACCAAATTATTTTGTCATTAAATTGACTTTCTTTGTGGCTTATATTGGTTAATTTTATAGTGAAATATGTCCCTATATCAACTGTGTTTAATATATATATATATATATATATATATATATAAAGTCTGCTAAAGAGGGAGAAAGTAAGATGTAGATTCAAGAACAAAATAAATTTCTTCAGTGTTTTCCCTCTGGTGCCATTTCCTCTCTGGGCGTGTGTGTAATTATGTCAATTAAGTAGAGAATTCTGCTACTGAAGCTAATTATGACTGTGCCTTTGAGTGTCCGTGGAGTCTGTGCCGTGTCTACCGCTTCCCGACCTCTTCCGAGAATCTCATCATCACTTCACAGATCCAAGTGCACAGTTTTTTGATCCATTTATTTTTTAATTCTTTTTTGCTTTTTGGATTGTACTCAGCTTCATGTCCAAAGAGATTTGTAGTGACTGAGTCTAAATCGATTCTCACTGTAGGAGAAACTACTGGGTGTCTTCCCTTACAAGGATGGGTGTCTCTTGGAGATGCCTGTCATGGCCACGTCGGTGTTCTTCAGGTAATGCCACCTGAGGTCTCATATGCCAGGTGAGCACATGAGGTGTGGCACGGATGCCTTCTCCAAGTGAGAACATATACGCTTCACAGTTGGTTAATGGCTCTGCAGGAGGAAAAACCTTCCCCTTTTAATGAAATCCATTTCTGGCTTTGGTAAACTTAAATGGATCATATTTCATACACTTTCTTAACTTAAAAAAGGGCTATTTGTTGTTAACTGGGTTGTGTGAGCTGAGCTGTTAGGTTTCAGAGTGGGTGTCTTGGTGGCAAACTCATCACTTGTATCCTGAAGATGGGAGAGAAAGGTGGAAGGGATAGTGTTTCGTACAAAGGGCAGAGCAGGTGCAAAGGCCCTAAGGCAGGAAAGAGACTGCGCGTTCTAAGAATTGCGGGAAGGGTCGTGTTGTTGGCAGTGGGGTGGAGACACCCCGGGAATTTGGAGCGACAGGTGGGAGGCTCGTAGGCCAATTCTACTTGGACCTACTGTTCCGAATCACCAGGGGAGAGGCCCAGGTATCTTCTTCTTTTTATTTTATTTTATTTTATTTTATTTTATTTTATTTTATTTTATTTTATTTATTTATTTATACAAGCACGGGTACAGTTAGAAGCGTGGGAGGGTGAGAGAATTCACCAGAGGCAGTGCAGAGAGCAGAGCAGGCAGACTGACGGAATACACTGCTGAGGGGAGCAGCGGGCTGCAGGAGAGGTCTGTTCGCCATGTGGGACCCTCACCTGGCGGCTGGGGATTGAACCGGCGTTGCAGAGGCTGTGGGCAGCTTCGCAACCCAGCGCTCAACCACTGCCCCACCAGGGAGGCCCAGTGTCTTCATTTTTAAAAGGTTCTTTGGTTGATTTGGATGAGTGCAGGTGTTTAGCAACCACTAAAACTATGGGCGAAGCTCACGAATGCTTCTCCAAAGCAGACCTGATATGTCATTGGCTTGAGCTAAAGAACCCAAGAGGAGCTGCAAGTTCTCTTTGTCACCCTCCCGGTCTTGTTTCCTGCCATCCTTGGGCGCCACCAACATGATAGAAATTTCAGAAACCATATAGAAAATCATAAATAAAAATGATTATCTCCATAAGCTGTACATCCCATTGTTTTATATTTTTTAACGCCTAATTTTTTGAATGTTCTACAAATTGGTTTTTTAACAAAACATTGTTTTGCCATCTGTCCACACTAATATGTATGTGAATCTGTTGCGCCTCTGCAGTGTCACTTCTCTCCCGTTAAAAACAATCTTATCTCTATTTTTAGATTTTGTCTTGATCTGTGCTTTGGTGCTGCCAAATTGCATGAAATTCTCTTTAAGTGGAAGAAAGAGATGATCGTGGAATCACTGCAGCCAGCCAAGGGGCACCTAAGGGGCTGTCTGGTCCAGATTCTTCTCTCCCGGAGGAGGACTGTGGAGTCTGAGGAGTTTATGTGATTTTCACAAAGACACCCCCCTAATTAGAAGGGTAGCTCGTGCGGGAGCTTCTGGGTGCCGGCACTGCGGGCTGATAGGTGTTTATGTGCGTGCCGGGGAAGGCCTTCAAGTAGCCTTTGGGATGACAGACACAGGATGATTTACTGCTTGTCACAATGTCATTTTGTTGTAAACAACATTGTGGAAAAGTGTCAGCAAGGAAATGAATCCCGCTCAAGCTAAAAATAAACCATCTTAGCATTATGCAGAGAACCTATGCTTATGTCACGGCGTAGGGCATCATGAACAGTGTCATTGCTCTTAGAACATTTTTCTTGTCTTAAGCAGGCTGTCCCCCACCAAATTCCAGGCCGGTTTCCCCAAGCACTGTCTTGGCGGAGTCAGCCCTGATACTTTTTTTCCTTAATGTGCTGTAAAATCATATTATTATTTTTTATTTTACTGGTGTAACATTGGCTTACATCTTCTTTCTTTCTTTTTTTAAAATTCATTCATTCATTCATTCATTCATTCAAGCACTGGGTATAGTCAGAAGCGCGGGAGGGTGAGAGGATTCACCAGAGCCAGAGCCGGGAGCAGAGCAGGCAGAAGGACCGAAGGACACTGCTGAGGGGAGCAGCAGGCGGCAGGAGAGGTCTGCGCGCCATGTGGGACCCTCCCCCGGTGGCCGGGGAGCAGCCGGGGATTGAACCGGCGCTGCAGAGGCTGCGGGCAGCTTCGCAACCCAGCGCTCAACTGCTGCACCACCGGGGAGGCCCTACATCTTTTTTTCTTAAAGATTTATTTATTGGGCCTCCCTAGTGGCTCAAGGGGTTAAGATGCAACCTATGACGCTGTTTGCAGCCTCTGCAGCATGAATTCATGAGTTCGATCCCCTGGCTGGCCAGGGAACAACCCACATGGCTCAGCAGACCTCTCCTGTCTTGCCCGCTGCTCCCCTCAGCAGTGTACTTCGATCAATCTGCCTGTTCTGTTCCCCACTCTGTCTCTGTGAGTCCTCTCACCCCCCCACACCTCTGGCCTGTAGCCCAGCTCTTTATTTATGCATACAAGAGCTGGGGTGTAAGCCAGAGGTGCCAGGGGTGAGAGGATTCACCAGAGACAGGGATGCAGAACAGGCAGACTGAATGAAATACACTTCTTGAGGGGAAAAGTGGGGAGACAGGAGAGTTCTGCTGTGCCATGTGGGTCAGTTCCCTGGCCGGGAATAGAACTCGTGCTGAGACTTAACCTCTGCACCACCAGGGAGGCCCCACAACTTAGTTTGGAATTTAGAGGTCTACGATCTCCCTTTCAGATGTTACCACACCCACCACCAAAACCACTTATATTCCTTCACCAGCGTCTTCTGTGCTCCCTCCTTGGTTGGCTCCCCCCCACCCCCCACTCCGTCTCTGGTAGCCTCAGCTCCATAGTCAGATTTCAAAGGTTAGTTTATTAGCTTGGCTTTATCTGAAATTTTGCTTGGTTTCTCCACATTCCACACCTAAGTGACACTATTTGGTATTTGTCTTTCTGACTTATTTTGCCTCGCATAAGTCCCTCCTGCTCCATCCATGTTGTTGTAAATGGCAAGAGTTTGTCTTTTTAACAGCTGAGTAGTATTCCATTGTGTATCCAGACTGCAGCTTCCAGACCCGATCCTCTGTTGTTGGGCACTTAGGTTGTTTCCATAGCTTGGCTGAGGTAAACAGCACTGCACTAAAATAGATGCACAGGATGTTTCTAGGTGCACTATTTTATTATTTGTTTCCTTGCCTTTTGCTTCTCTGTTCTATACTTTTTTACTTTCTTTGGGTTAATTAGATGCATTTAAAGGAATTTATTGACTTTTTAGCTCTCTGCATTATTTTTGCCATGGTTGCTCTAGTGATATATATTCTAAATATTTTGCAGTATAGTTACGATTATGATACTTTATACTGTGTCATTCATGTCACAGATGACATAAACATAATTGTCACCTGTGTCCACCATGTCCCCAACCTTTATGCTACATCCTCATATATATTACATTTGTATGTGCCATCATATCCACTATATAACTATTTGCAATGAGTAGTCCTATGTGTTTTTTTTTTTTAGTCCTATGTGTTTTAAAGAAAGAAAAGAAAAAGAATCTTTCATATTTACCCAGACATTTTTTTTTTATTTCTGGTGTTTTCACTCATTTATAAGAATCAAATTTCCACCAAGTGTCATTTCCTTTTGGCCCAAAGAACTTCACTGAGGCATTGCCTGCAGAGCCCTTCTGCTGGAAATGAGTGGGAGAGCATTTATTTCCAGGAGGCTTGAAGTGTCTTTGTAATAAAAATAACCTAATTCTGTCCCCCAGTGTTAGTGAGATATATGTAGAGTTATACGTTTAACATTATATTGCCTTGGAATGTTTAGCCTGACGACTTGAGAGGCACGTGTCATGTGAAGTGATGACCACAGGAAGTTTACTTAACAGCTACTACCCACATGGTTAGGGTGATTTCCCATGGCATGAGAAAAATATCCCAATTATTTCAAAAGATTGGAAACCACGCCATAAAGCAAAAGAGCATAAAGTAGGAGGCGTAGACCTGCCTGGTCCCTGACTTGCTACGTGACACTTTCTGCCCTTATTTCCTCGTCTCTGAAGTGTGATTGTCAGTGACTGTCCTGCTGCCTTAGGTTACAGCGTTGTGAAGAGAAAATGAGAGATGCAGGCGGACATAACTGAAATCATTAAAAGATGTTAAATGCAAGCTATTATGTTCCAGAAAATTCTCAAACAGTGTCAATTTATATGATGCAGGTGACAAAATCTCCAGAGGAAGCACCTTCCCTCCCCAATGGCGATGTGGTGGGCGAGGCACAGAGCACTGAGGAGGTAAGAGTGGTGTCTTCCTGCCCGGCCTCTGCAGAATAACCACTTGGGCCTGACTTCCTGTGTCTGTCTGCCTCTCTCCCCTACCTATTCCTATTGCATCTCTCCTTTCTGTCTGGTCTATTCTATTCTATTCTATTCTATTCTATTCTATTCTATTCTATTCTATTCTATTCTATTCTATTCCATTCCATTCCATTCCATCCCATCCCATCCCATCCCATCCCATCCCATCCCATCCCATCCCATCCCACCCCATCCCACACCACCTATCCTTTTTAATCTCTACACTTAGAGTGTCTCTCCATACAAGCAATAGAAAACAAACACTGCTTAAATATTAATCCTTTGGAGTTCTCTACATAAGCCTTAAGTGGGTGAATTGAGATTCATCACCCAGGGAGCTTAATACCCTACTGTGCACATGGTCAGGTCAGTGGACTCGCACCAGTAGAGCCGATCATTGATTTCAAGAGTTGACCGCCCTATAGAAACTAAGTGATGCAATACACAGGAGGTCTTGGCTTGCTTTATTTATATATTATGTATCTAAATAAGAAAACTTTAGCCCCTGTGGTCTGTTTTTTCCTTGGAAACTTCCCTAAAGTCAGTGATATTGTGGGCTTCCTTTGTGACCAGGGAACAGAGAAGGCTGAAGAAGGTGGAGAAAATGAGGAACAGAAGGAGGATGAGGAAGGTGCCGCTAACCTCGCTGAGCCCCAAGAGAAGAAAGTGAGTGTGTTTTTTTAAAAAATGTTAGTTTCATGGGATTTGGCTTTCTTTAATAAATGTTTATTGAGCTTCGCCTGGGTGCCAGGAATCTTTCCGGGTGCACAACCAAGAGCACAAAAGTAAGGAGCTGAAAGCAAAACTAGGGGGAAACAGCTGACTCTGACTTAGGATGTTAACTGCGGTGGCTGAGGCTCGGGGGCTCGAGGGACAGAGAAGCACCTGCTGCAGGCCTGGGGGGTGGGTGGGGCTCTGACAGTGGCTCTGCACTGGGGTGCGGTGAGGTGCTTGTGCTTTACACAGCAGGGGCCCTGCTGCCTTGGTTATAGGACTTGACAGACTCCCCGTGTTCGCCCCCAAGAGCATGCCTGAGGAATGGGGGACGTTCCTGGGAAGCCGACGGGACTGAGGTTAGAGAGGGCACCTTGCAGAGGGAAGCTGACATCGGTTCAATTTAATCGGGAGAATATTGATCCCAGCTGATCCAAGCCCTGTGCTCTAATTGGAAAGGGGTTCCTATTCAGGGGTTTCCCCCTATTGGGGGGAACCTGTGGTTTTAAAAGAGCCAAACTGAGATAATGGGGGAACTTGTGGGCCAATTACTCAAGAGATCCTCAAAAATATAGGTGGGAAGCCAGGCAAAGGGAGGCCCTGTGCAGAGGGAGCCTGATGGCGTGGCGTTGCCAGTGTTTGGCCGAGTTTCTGCTTAGGGACTCTCAGCGGGCTTCTGAACTGGATCAGGTGTGGCAAAGACTTCTTACCAGACCTGAAATGTTTGCATCTTTACCTGTTTATTGTCTCCAGGGCATGTATGGGCAACTTTGAAGATTAGTTGGTGGGCATGTATTTGGTGTAGCCATTATGGGAAGCAGCATGGAGATTCCTAAAAAAAAAAAAAATCATTATGATCCAGTTACCTTACTTCTGGATACTTCCTCAAATAATACAAAACACTGGTTCAAAGAGACACATCCACCTCCATGCTTATTAAAGCACTATTTACAAGAGCCAAAGTTGTAAATAACCTAAATGCCCATCAGCTGATGAATGGATAAAGAAGGTGTGATCTATACAGACAATGGAATATTACTCAGCTATGAAAAATGACAAACCCCTGCCATTTGCAACAATATGGATGGACCTAGAGGGTGTTGTACTTAGTAAAACAAGTCAGACAGAGAAAGGCAAACACTGTATGAATTTTGTCATCTGGTACAAATAAATGGACTATTTAAGCAAAAACAAACTTTTAGGCTCTAAGACCAATTAGGTTACTGGAAGAGAACGGGAAAGGAGTTGTGTCAATAGAGTAAATGGGACCAATTTATGGCAAAGGAGAGAACTGGACTTTTGGTGGGGAACTTAATGTAGTAGAGATACATGTTGGTTAATAATTATGCACACCTGAACATATAATGTGGTCATGCAATGCTACTTAAAAAAATTAGCTGGGCCCTGTTCCAGCAGGTGGATTGTAGTCAGTAAGGGAGTTAAGACAGACAACCACACTATGGGAAATGGGGTGTAGTAGCGTAAAGATCTATTTGTCTTTATCTCAGGAATTTAAATTTGGTAGGGATCCTGAGCAGTACACGCCCTCGTTTGTGAAGATGATGATTTCAAATTGTTGATCATTTAAGATTCTCTAAATTTTGTTTAAGAAAGATAAAATCTTCAGTCTTGCCTAGAAGTGGGGTTTCATGGTAGCCTATATAATTCAGAATTAATAAATTATTCTGTCTCTGACAGTTTCATTATCTTGTCATTAAAAAATTTCTGGGTTTCTGAGCCTTTCATGAATTGCCTAATGTACTTTTACATTATATTATTGATTTATACTTGAAAATTCAGTTTGCGTCTTTAAAGTGAGAGACACAGATAATAAACATGATACCCCAATCCCTTTCTCCCGTGAAACTGAAAAGATGGCAGCATTTTCATAATCAGATTTTCCTGAGTCAGGGGAATCTGACTTGCGGCTACCAGGCCAGGCCCATCCCCTGAGCTGGTGACCTGTTCAGCTTGGAGATTTTCCTTGTCACTATTTTGAAAACTTGTGAGTCCTTTAACAAAGTAAATTATAGTCTTGTGAATCCTGATAAGAATTACAAAATAATCATGCTTGTTAGTTTTGCATGGGTTGTGATGAACAAACAGCTGAGTAAAAGACGTTTTAATTTTAGATGACTATATTATTAACATGATCAAATTCATTTTCAACTCCAGTAGTATTTATTCTACATAAAGTCAGATTCTGACTTCCACCCTCTTAACAAGTGATGCTCTTTTTTTTTTTTTAATTTTTTTTTTTTTATAGAGGCATGTTTTATTTATTTATTTTATTTGTTTGTTTGCTTTGTTTATACAAGCACTGGGTACAGTCAGAAGTGCGGGAGGGTGAGAGAATTCGCCAGAGCCAGAGCAGGGAGCAGAGCAGGCAGAAGGACCGAAGCACACTGCTGAGGGGAGCAGCGGGCGGCAGGAGAGGTCTGCGCGCCATGTGGGACCCTCCTCCAGTGGCCGGGGAGCAGCCGGGGATCGAACCGGGGCCGCAGAGGCCGCGGGCAGCTTCGCAACCCAACGCTCAACCGCTGCGCCACCGGGGAGGCCCAACAAGTGATGCTCTTTGACCTACATTAATTAAATAAGAGCAAAATAATGAGTTGTCAGTAAACAAATTCAAAATGACATCATAATGTGGTTAGCTTTGAGACTGAGCACGAAAATCAATTGAAATTTAAAAAGGAGATGAAAACTGTAGTGTCTGGATGAGTCATGGACTTGGTTTTCTGATCTCCACACTTGTGAACACACACACACAACTCCTGTTTAATGGGAGAAATATTAATCTAAGAATATTACATTGTTTAAGAAAATCAGAAAGGGAGACAGAAACCATTATTTCCTGTAATCACATATATCTTATCTGACACCTCCCTAAGACGGTGGGGTTCTTAAATCCAAGATGCTAAGATGTATTTAATTGACTGTGTGATTATAATTATCTTCAAAGCCAAGTTTTCCTCAACTATTTGTCACAAAAAAGGCAGTTCAAGCATTGTATACAGGTGACTTGAAGGGTCGGCCTCATTCAGATATTTTATAATTCTGCGAGCTAAGGAGGGAAGCCAACGGGAACTGTTTTTATTTAACTAATAATTATTTTTGAAATAATCAAATCTATAAATAAAGAAGATATGCAAAATATAAATGCTGGGCCAGCATTTGAACAGGCCATCACCTCATGCTGAGGAGGATCTGAGCTGTCACTTCAGATGCTCCGTAGAACTTCATAGGCCCTTCCTGACAGCCAGGAAGGGAGAGAGGTGGGGGCGCAGAAGGCCCCTCAGCATCTGGGCACTCTCAGACAGGAGCCACAAGCGGGGGGCATCCTGAGAGCTTCACAACACCCTGGGGACCTTGCAACTTGTTCTTGTTTGTGTTTGGTTTTCACTGGGGAAAATGACTTGAAGTTGTGTTCTTTGCTGACTCACTGGTCCTCCCACCATCTTTGAAGACCTTAACTTGACCAGCTACATGGCGGTGGCCTGTAAATCAACTCTCTTGCCTTACTCCAAACTTGAGGAAAGTCACTTTCTCAAGAGACAGATATGTTGGCTCAGGTCCAGGAGCTCCTGGACCTGCTGGCAAGCGGCACAGGCCCTTCAGGGGAGGAGCCCTATCTACTCTTGCCCAGCTCTGACGCCGTCTCCCACTTCAGGCCGCTGCTGGCTAGCCCTCAGTGCCCTCCCCCACCAGCCACTTGTCCTAACCGGCCACTGCCTGACACTCACCACTGCCGACACCTGTCCTTGGTCCTGGCCACTTGCCACGTCAGCATCTGCTCCCCTGGCCAAGTTCCCAACCAAAATAGCTGTTGGCGAAGGTTCTAAGACTCCCTACTTCTGAGACGCCCCCGACCAGCTTTCTTAGAAAAACAACAAAATAAAATGACTTTAAGTGGTAGCTTTGTCACTCCAGTGGAGCATGTCGCACCCCAAGATTTGCAAAGGCTGGGGTTAGTTGACTGCGGGATTATAATAATCTTCAAAGCCAAGTTTTCCTCAATCATTTGTTTTTTTTTTTTTTTTTTTTAGATTTATTTATACAAGAACTGGGGTACAGGCCAGAGGTACGGAGGGTGAGAGAATTCCCCAGAGACAGAGTGGGGAACAGAACATGCAGACTGACTGAAATCCACTGCTGAGGGGAGCAGCGGGGAGACAGGAGAGGTCTGCCATGCCACTTGGGTAGCTCCCTGGCCAGGGATTGAAATTGTGCTGCAGTGGCTGTGGACAGCTTCATAGCTTGCTTCTTAACAGGGAGGCCCTCCTCAATTACTTGTCATAAAAAGTCAGCTCAAACATTGTAGACAGATGACTTGAAGGGTCGGCCTCATTCTGATATTTTATAATTCTGTGAGGTAAGGAGGGAAGTTTAAGTTTGTATTTAATAATTATTTTCAAAATAATCAAATCCATAATTCAAAGAAGAGATGCAAAAAAGATAAAGGGCATGCAAATATGATATATAAATAATAAATAAAATAATAAGTCAATATTAAGTGAATACGTCTCTTAAGAGGGACTTGAGGCGGAAGTGGTGGACACACATGCTGTCACTCACTGTGTTTTGATGGACCGGGTGCCTGGCAGACGTCCGGGGCCGGGGCCGGGCAAAGAAAATGACAAGGTCTGAGGTCATCCTTCTTCATTTAGGAAACATATTACAGACCAACGATGTGATCTTAATCGTGCTACTTTGAAAGAAAACAGTCAGATAAATTACTTTTGCTATCAGGAAGATAGCAATAAATTAGAGGATCAGTTCAGTACTCAAAAGAGCTTATCAGTGCTGGGAGTGAGTAAATCAGGCAAAGAGAAAAAAACATTATTTGTATATTGACTTAAAAAGTAGCAAGTAATATATGGTTGAAATTTAGGCTAATCCAATAACTTAAGTAATATTAATAATCAAATTACTAGGTGCTCAGCAAGGGGAAAACCCTGCTAAATTTCAATAAACTGTTGTAAGGGTCTTTTAAATTGATCAATTTTTGGGGGGATCTAATTTGCCATTGTAAAAAATGAAAGAACATGACAAAGTCTCTGCCCCCACAGGCCTTCCGTCCTGGTAGAGCTGTGATGTTAGTATTTAAGGTTTTCCAAAGCTTACTTGACCTTTGGAAGATAAATATTTCTAAAAATGCTCTGAGCAATTACTTTCTCTATTTAATGTGTCTTTCAAGAGAAATAAGGTCAATCCAGCTACTGCCAGCGTTCCCGGGTGCTTTGGGAATTGCTGCTGGCTGACCTGTGAAAATCCACACAAGCACTTACTCCTGTGAGGCCTCCCTGCTGCCCCCAGCGTTGTGCTAAGGAGGACCCCCCACCCCCCACTCTTCATAGTTGGTCATTCTATGTTGTTGTATTTTGTGTTTTAATTTGAGGTCATGTGGAAAGAAGAAAGTTAATGTTCTTGGAGATTCCAACAGCTAATAGCAGACTCTGTGTGCTCAGAGATTCAGACTTTTTTTTTTAATTTATTTTTTATTATTTATGCATACTAGGGTGTAGGCCAGAGGTGCGGGCGTGAGAGGACTCACCAGAGACAGAGTGGGGAGCAGAACAGGTGGGTCTACTGAAATCCACTGCTGAGGGGAGCAGCGGGGAGACAGGAGAGGTCTGCTGTGCCATGTGGGTTGGCTTCCTGGCCAGGGATCCAGCTCAGGCCACAGTGGCTGGTGATAGCTTGATAGAACTGAGACTAACCCCTGCGCCTCCAGGGAGGCCCCAAGATTCAGACTCTGAACATGGGTCTTGAGCTCACATCTTGGCCCCAGACAGTGTCCTGGTCGTGCAGCCTGAGGGACAAGGAAGGCCCCTGCTGTGCTCCGCAGGGCAGCAGGTGATGATTTGACAGCGCAGAGTCCCCACAAGACCTGTGGTCTTAAAACCAGCATTTTAATCGATGTGCGGGAGGTGCGGCTGATTTGAGCAAACTGTGTGTGATCCCCTTGGAGGAGGTGAGGAGCCATGAGGCTGGAGGGCGAGTGAGGGCCAGACCCAGGCAACCTTTCCGCCATCCTAAGGGTCACTGATGCATCTTGAAAAGATGGGAGTTTTTTATTTTCCCGATTTCCCCCTCAACCCAGCCCCTGGAAGCCACTTGTCTACTCTGTTTCTATGAGTCTGACTTTTTAAAAAACATTCCACACAGACCTGACACCATGCAGTATTACCTTTCTCTTCCAGGCTAACGCCCCTTAGTGTACTGCCCTCAAGATCAGCCGGGTTTTGCAAATGGCTACATTTCCTGTTTCTCAGAGCTGAATAGTATAACATTGTCTGCTGTCTGTCCGTCCGTCTGTCCGTCCATCATCCAGCCATCTAGCCATCTATCATCTGTCTATCTATCTGTCTATCTATCTAATCTCACATCTTCTCTGTCCCTCTGTCTGTTCATAGACACGTAGGTTGCTTCCGTGTCTTGTCTGTTGCAAATAGATCTGCAGTGAACGCGGAGGGCAGCGTTCTCCCCGGCATCCTGTTTTCTTTTCGTTTGGACACAGCCCCGGGAACAGGGCTGCTGGAGCTTGTGGAAGTTTCAGCTTTAACTTGTTGAGGAAACTCCCTGTAGGTGTCCGGGGCGGCTGCCCTCTTACACGCCCGCAGTGCCCAGGGGCCCAGGGCATCGCTCCTGCTCAGCCCCGTGTGGGCTACCCCTTCTTCTGGAGGCAACCGTCCTACCAGGCGATAGTGGTTTCTCATGGTGGTTTTGATTTGCATTCCCTGCCGACCATTCATGTGTCTACTTTGGAAAGATGCTTTTCGAGTCCTCTGTTCACTAACCAGCTTGCTTGGGATGGAAGTTCTGGAACAAGAGGGCAGCCTGGAAGCTTTGCTGTCTTTTTGGATGGAACCAGGTTGCAGCGGGAGGGCGGAGTCAAGATAAGGAGAACTGGATGCCATGGGCACTGCTCAGGGGCTCCTTTCACAAAGTTCGGTGGCAGAAGATGGCGGTCATGGCAGGAGGGACCAGGACGCACAGAATCAGGCGGTTTAAGGAGGTGCTTGCTGCACCCCTGCACCCTGGCAGCGCAGCTCTCCTGGCTGGCATTTCAGCGCTGACGCTTGGCGTATTGCCCGTGGTGGTTAGTGTGGGATTAGCGTGGAGGTTCCCAGCGCTGGGAGAGCCTCTTGGGCTGACTCAGCCTGGGCAGCTGTGCCAGGCTGTCCTTTTATTTTTTGTCCAACCTCAGAAAAGTGAGAGCGCTGCTCTGGAAGTAGCTGGCCGGGCACACAGGCCGGGCCTGCAGTGGGACAGTGAGAAGGGTTCGCTAAAACTTGCCTCCTGCTAGTTGGCTTTTCTGTTACTAATCTTGAGAGGCGGCCTGAGCGGGCAGGAGGCAGGCAGTGGGTTAGCAGCCGGAGATCAGCGTGAGCCCCACCATTGCTTGCTTGTCCCTGGCCTTCGGCAAACTACTTACATGTGTGGTCTCTGTCCTCCTCTGTCCTGGGAGGTAAGTGGACACTCGTCACTGCAGCACCGCTACGGCAAGGCCCCACTGCTCCCTGGGTCTAAGGCCATGGAAACCGCTGTCTCCCCTTAAAGCCACTGAGGTGCTGTGGACCCAGAGAGCGATCTCAGGGCCCCTTGGGAGGGACACAGACACTCTTACTTCCTCGCATTTTAGCAGAGGTAGCCTGGCGCCGTGACTCTGATCCAGGGGAGCAGAAATCCCAGTGGGTTGGCAGAGTGGAGACTTGCTAGAGCCTGGTATCTCTCTTACTTTGCCGGTTTCTCTCCTAAACCAAAAATTGGTGTTAAAAAAGTACCTCGTTCAGGGCCTCCCTGGTTCGATCCTCAGCCAGGGAGCTGACCCACAGGGCGCAGCAGACCTCTCCTGTCTCCCCGCTGCTCCCCTCAGCGGTGCATTTCAGTAGATCCACCTGTTCTGCTCCCCACTCTGTCTCTGGTGAGTCCTCTCACCCCCGTACCTCTGGCCTGCACCCCAGCTCTAGTATGCATAAATAAGTAAAAATAAATCTTTTTTTAAAAAAGCACCTTGTTCAGAAATGTTATTTTGTTCTGATGGAGGAACAATTTATGATCAACTTTTATTAGCTTCAAAGCTAATATTTATATGGACATGGAGGCAGAAAATACATAGTTTTGTTCAAGTGTTAAAACTGCTTACATAAGTTCTTTTTTTTTTTTTTTAGATAGTTCTGGAGTCTATAATGAGCTTTGGATATAGAGACAGAATTAAGCATATCAGTGAGCAGTATTAGTAGTTAATTATATTTTCTCAGCAGTGTGAGTGATGGGAGAATGTCTTTAATCTCATAATATTCTAAGAGTTTGAAATATGTAGACATCACTCAGGTGTCACAGCCTCGCTATTTATAGATAGTATCATTAAATTAATGTCTTTCATTTTGACAAGCATGAATTTTATCAGGGTTTGCTTAATTTTTGGATCCAACTGGTAAAACTTATGTGAATTTGTATTTTTTCTTTAATGTCTGCTCATGGACCCAAGGAAGAGGAGGGAGAGACAGCCACTGAAGAGGTACAGTAACAGGTTTAACAGCTCTGCTTGAGAAAAACATCATTTAGGTGCGAGCATGGCAGCTTTAGCCACACTCTCCTTGTTCTTCATGAAATGAAGAAGCAGACACAACCCGCACTCTCAGAAGGTTCTCGGGTTGTCTGCTGAGAGGGGGCATGGGAGCGGTTGGAAATGGATTTATCAAAGGAGATGGATAGAGAAATAAGGTGTGACTGTGGACCTTTCCGGCGCCTCCTGTGGTGAAGTCTGCAGTGTATCAGGTGGAGAGTTCTCCGTTCTCCTTCCACCCACTGGGTGGGCACAGTTGGGGCACCCTGCTTGGACCTTGGGCGTGCCGCTGACTGCCTCCTATTCGCCTGGTGGGTGAGGGAGTCTCTCCCTGTGGTGAGGGGGTGACTGCTACACAGCCCGCAACACCGGGCAGGGGAGAGGGATGCTGTTCGCTAAGTCACGTGGTCTCATAGCCCAGGCGAGGGGCGTCCTCAGGACAACCCCCCCCCGGTGCGCTTGGGAGCATGTGAACCAGCCAGGCTGTGAGGCAGGCTGTGTAGTAACTAGAGGCTGTGTAGTAACACGGGCCACGTGGTTGGCTTGTTCTCATAGTCCGGAGGACCCGAGTGCTGTGCCTGGCGCTGTCTCTGCTTAGGGGGTCTCCCGAGTGGGAGCAGAGGGCCTAGTGAGGCCAGGCACCACTTCTACCAGGAAGGGAAAACTGAGTCTGCACTTTAGGTCTTCCCCTCCGGGTTTAAGCTACATGAATGTCTTTCATTTCGATGAAATTTAATGTTAACTTGGATTTAACAAACACTTCCTTTAAATTGAATCATGCAGCTCATCATTAAGTGTCAAGAAGCGATATGACCTTGGGAATCCACACGGGTCAGCATTTCACGGGGGGAGGGGAGACCTAGTCACGGAGAAAATTATTGAATGGGAGGAATTTTTAACCCAAGTTGGGGTGACCTCAGCGCAGTGGTTCTCAGTCATCGGTGCGTTAGAGTGGCTGGTGGTGGGCTCGGGCATCCAGGCCCCTGCCCCCTTCGGCTGGTGAGTAAGATCCTTTGGGCCTGGTCCCGCGGGCTGTTGAGATGAGAGGCCGAGGTTCCAGGCTTCACTTTAGGGAGGAAGGGGTGGGATGAGAGCGGTCGTGACACTCGCTGGAACCCATGTCCTGAGCTCAGGCCTCCAGACCCAGGGCGGGTCAGAGAGATGTGTGCGCTGTGTGTGTGAGGGTGTTGCGTGAATGCTGTGTGTTGTGCCCAGTAGGTGTGTTGTACGTTGAATGCATGTTGTAAGAACACCATAGTGTGTCCAACATGTGTTGTGCTTGTGTACGTTGTATGCATGTGGGCCTTGCGTGGATGTCGTGTGTGTGGTATGAACGATGTGTGTGTGTCTGTGTGTATTGTGTACGTGTGGCTCTTGCATGAATGTCGTCTATGTCACATGAGTGATGTGTGTGTCTGTGTGTGTTGTATGCATGTGGGTCTTGCATGGATGTCGTGTGTGTCGTATGAATGATGTGTGTGTATGTGTGTGTGTGCGTGTGTGTGTTGGGGGGGAGCTGTGGGAGACCCTCAACTCTGGCCCGAGATTCCTCGCTGTGTCTTTTGACCCTTACCTTTTCAGTAATCCTCTCATTTGTGTTAAAATTAGACGGAAGGCGTCCCCGAGGAGGGAGCAGAAGGGGACGCGGAGCAAGAGGACGCTGAGCAGGGGGAGGAGGAGCCTGGTGCGGAGGAGTCTTAGGCCGCCCTGCAGTCCCTCTTGCTGCCCCAGGTAGCCTGACTGCGTGCAAGGTTGTTGATGACACCGCGCTGTCTCTGCGCCATTTCTCTTGCTTTCTCATAAAAAGCAAAACTGCCTTCGCTGCCTATTAAATCGTGAAGCCTGTGGTGCAGACGCTGTTCAGAAGACCCTTCAACAGACTCCTGTCTAATATTTTCCTTTTCTTTTAGAAACCCAGGACCCGAACCAACATTTCAAGGGTCTCCCCACAAACCACACTCCGTCAGAGGCGGCGCCCTGGGCTCTCAATGCTTGAGGGCTTCCCGAGTAATCGCCCCTCCCCTGTGCTCCCCGCGCGCGGACAGCCTCCCTCGCCTCTTCAACAAGAAGGTAAACGTGAAGACGACTTGCAACCTCCCTGGCTGCACGCCTGGGCCTTTGCTTTACAGTCACTACTTGCTCCTCACAGATCGCTCTTAAGAACACCCTGAAAGAGTTTTCAACACATAGAATCTCTCTGTGATAGAACAAAAATGTTTCTTTGTATGTGCCTTATGCTGTTTTCTCAACCTCGATAGTGAGCAGACAAATAAAGGAATTGCAAACGCCTGGTCTCCCCATGGTGTCTCCTTGTGGCGTGTCAGGCTGCTGGGGTGTCGCCGGGGCTGGGTGCTCAGCAGGACCCACCTGTCTGCTCCGGGATGGGTTTTTGTTGTGGCTCTGATTATTTGGACCCTGTTTCAAATGACCTGGTTGTCTTGTGACCTGAACATTATCCTGGAGGTTTTATTTATTTATCTTTATTTTTTATTGAAGTAACATTGGTTTACATCACTGCTTGAGCACTGCAAGTATAGGGTCTCCCCCTCAGGTGTTGCTGCCACACCTCACCCCCCTCCCACATGCCCATGTCCTCCACCACAGTCCACCGTCTCCCTCCCCACCTCGCCCTCCCGCCTGGCCCTGTTTCAGTTCTCAGGTCAGCTTTCAGGGGTTAGTTTTTTTGTTTGGCGCTCTGTGACCCTTTGTTCAATTTCCCTGCCTCCCGCTTGTGAGAGACAGCCCCTGGCATTTGTCTTTCTCACCCTCCCCATCTCTCCTCTCCTCTCCATGTGTTGCTGCCAATGGCAAGAGTTTCCCTTTCTGTCTGCGGAGTAGTTTTCCATTGTGTCACCAGACCACATCTTCCCGATCCACGCATCTGTCGCTGGGCACTTAGGTGGCTTCCATGGCTGGGCTGTTGTAGGCAGTGCCCAGCGCGCGCGGGAGTGCTGGCCCCTCTCTGAATTAGTGCCCACGGGCTTCTTTACGTGGGGCGCTGTCCTGCGCTGTCTGCTCCTCGAGAGCTCCGCTCCGGCGCCTGGACTTGCTCACCAGGCAGCTGCGTTTGCGTGTCCTACCTGCCAGCCCCACCTCAGTTTGCCAGGGGTATTTTTCCCTTCTTGTGAGATTTTGCTGCCTCCCCCCCCCACCCCGCGTGTGCACGGTCCTTGTGTTTTTCTAGCTGCAGACATTGCTTCTGTGATGCCGGAGGGGCTGACCTCCTTGCTGCTTTCCTGTTTAGTGAGAGTTTGGTCATTCAGCGCAGAGTGGCCACGAGCTTCTCCTCCCACCGTGTGCCTGTTGCTCGCGCCCCTGGCCCTGCTTGTGTCATTGGGAGACAGCTGGATGGCCGCAGAGCGAATGTGGGTCACGTGAGTGCTGGAAAATAGCTCTTGTTACACTAGTAACAAAAAGTGGCATTTGGGAGAGAATTGAGATTATTTTGTTCCCAGTCATTGAAGTAGATGACTTTAAAACATTTTGCCCTTGCCAAAAATAAGGTGGAAGACCATTGTGAAATGGAAATTCATAGAATTAGAAATTAATTTCTATTTTGGACGTCATTGCATTAAATTGTGGCCTAGCTAAAGAGACGCGTCATTTATAACAACTCCGCGCATGAGTAGGCCTCAGCTTTTTGCTGGAGCCGAGGACTGGTGCTGAGCTCATTCGTGGTCAAGTGGGATGGGCAGGTGAACTTCATCAGGTGCCAATTCCCCTCATTCCTCATATTTTTAAGAGAAAGTAAGTATTCTGGCTAAATAAAAGCAGCCCAAGATAACCATCGAGGCCACTTGTTGAAACTGAGTTAATAATTTTTCTTGTCTTCTGAAGCCAGAAGACGAGCTCTCTGGGAGAGCAGGCCTCTTCTCTCACGTCTCACTTTCTTTACAGTGTTTGTTGACATGCAGACACCCCTGAGCTCAGAGCCACGGTGCGCACGGGTCAGCTCTAGCCCTGTGTTGCCTGCCGTGGCCGGGATGCCCCGTGGCCGGGGCCTGTGCACAGTGAGGAAGATCCTCGTAGGGCCATGCCGGCCATCTTGATTCGGAAGTTGTAGGGGAAATGAAGATGCTCAGGCTTTTGTGCTGTGGGCCGCTGTGGCTCTCACCTGCGGCCTCGAATGCAGGAGGCACTTGGGGGTGTGGGCGTGGGGCAGGCGGGCCTGATGGTGGACACCTGGGGTGTGGTGTGGGCGTGCGTGAGTGGGCGCACCTGAGCCTGGAGGCTGAGCAGAGAAGGGCTGCATCACAGAGGCGGGAGCACAGGGTGCCGTGGAGAGGCCACGAGAGAGTGTCAGAAAGTCCAGAGAGTCAAGATTCGCCAGGGACTAGGAGGCCTGCCACCCTCCTGGCCCCCAGCCCGCCCCGGACCTGGTTGTCTCACTACAAATGGTGTAGAAAGATCATTAAAAGTCTCAAAAGTCTACTGAGGGCTCCAGGACTCTCCTTTACCCGTCTGCCCCGATCATAGAGAACCTGCCCCGTGCCTTCCTGCTGCTTACAGAAGTCCACAGCCTTATCGATATCGGACGTTTCTAGAAACTACCCATGAATATGTCCAAGGGTAGCACAGATGAAAAGCCGCAGTGAACAAGCAAATCATTCTGCCCAAAAGAGAAAAGACCAGAGAAACAGAACTCTTCTATGATGCCCGGGGCCAGGGGGTGTTCAGAGACTGATTGTGTCTTGGAGGCCCAGCCCTTCAAAGCAAGCCCTTCTGTTGTCTTTTCTTTCTTAGTGTAGGGTAAGGAAAAATGTCAGGCTTTTCTGCCCTCCCGCCATCAGGATAGATGAGGGAAACCTGTGATCCTGAATGCATGCCTGATGGCGGCACCTGGAGTGGGTGCACCTGGGCTGAGAGACTGAGTTTATAAGGGCGGCGCTGCGGGGACGCCAGCAGAAGCCGAGGAGAAGCCGAGAAAGAAGTAGCAGAAGCCGAGAGGGAAGCAGAGATCACCAGAGAGCCCAGATAGTGTGCGGATTTGCTGGGGGCTGGGAGGCCTGTCAGCCTCCCGGCCCCTCAACACCCCGGCCCCCCAGCACCCCTGCCTGCCATATGCCTGGTGAACCCCAATAAAATCCTGCAAAAAGCCACTGAGGACTCTGACTCCTCCTTCACCCGGTCTGCATGGGATCAGAAAACCTGCACTGTGGCCAGTCCTGCCCTTTGCACTGTGTCCTGTTCCTGACTTTACACTTAGTCAGAAAAGAAGCCACAGAAAATTCAAGTGCATTGTTCTGAACCACCGAACAAGGGCCCCTGTCCCCTCCTCCCTCTCCCCCACCCGCGCCCCCAGATTTCCCCTTGGGGTTGAAATCTTCCTCCGGCACGAGGCCGCAAGGCAATCAGGCTGGTTCATGGTTCTCATTGGGATCTTAGTTTTATAGATACACAGTGGTTGGCACAGAAGGACAGTAGGACACGTCCCGTCTGCAGGAGTCCTTGGGAAAGACTTAAACCATTTCCTTCCAAAGACAGGTTCAGCGTCGAGCCCGCAGGTGCGGGGACGCCACGAGTTGTAGTAAAGAGAATGACCACCAGGTGGCAGTAAAGGACAAACTTCCCAGTCCGGGGGTGCCTTCAATTAGGGGTGTCGGAAGGGAAGGGGGGTGCGCGCAGGGGTTAGGGGAACAGAGGTGTGTGAGGGCTCGAGCTGGCCTGAGTGGGGCGGGACCGCGTGCCCGTCCGTCCTCCAGGTGGACACTGAAGCCTGCAGAGCGCGCGCTGCAGCTGCTGCAGCAGGGAAAGCGGAGTCGGGGCGCCGCGGAGCCGCCGGCGGGCGTGAGGCGGGAGGAACAAACAGAAACCCCCGCACCAGCTGGTGATCTAACTAATGTGCTGTTTATCCTGCTTCACCCAAGAGCTCTTCTGGTGGGCGCAGTGTTGTGCGTCCTGAAAACCCATCGGGACCGGGCGTGGGGTCTGCGTTCACACCTGCGCGCCCCGTCGGGGCTGAGCGCGCCCCGGGGACACAGGATCCCCTTTCGCGGTGGGGTTCGGCCCCCCCCAGCGCGCGAGCTCGGCCTGCAGGCGGCGGCCCGCGCGGTCCAGGCCCTCTGGCCTGATGGGGACGCGTTTCCCGACGTGGGGAGGTGCTGGGGCCTTCGGTGGTTGCCTGGGGCGCCTGGCGGCTCCCCACCCCCCCGGGCTGGCGGGGGGGGGGCGCCGCGGGGTGCACCCCTGGCAGGGAGCTCGGGGTGCGCGTGAGGCTACGGGCACCTGGGCTGGGGGGGCGCCGCGGGGTGCACACCTGGCAGGGAGCTCGGGGTGCGCGTGAGGCTCTGGGCACCTGGGCTGGGGGGGCGCCGCGGGGTGCACACCTGGCAGGGAGCTCCGGGTGCGCGTGAGGCTACGGGCACCTGAGCTGGGGGGTCGCCGCGGGGTGCACACCTGGCAGGGAGCTCGGGGTGCGCGTGAGGCTACGGGCACCTGGGCTGGGGGGGCGCCGCGGGGTGCACACCTGGCAGGGAGCTCGGGGTGCGCGTGAGGCTACGGGCACCTGAGCTGGGGGGTCGCCGCGGGGTGCACACCTGGCAGGGAGCTCGGGGTGCGCGTGAGGCTACGGGCACCTGAGCTGGGGGTCGCCGCGGGGTGCACCCCTGGCAGGGAGCTCGGGGTGCGCGTGCGGCTGCGGGCACCTGGGCCGAGGCCGGGGCACAGCGGCGGGGGCACGAGAGGGCCCGTCTGGGCCGAGACCCGAGTCCACAGGGGCGGGAGCGGGAGGGCCAGGAGCGAGGCCGAGCAGCGCACAAAGATTCGCAGGGGCGGGGGCCGGTTGCCTCCCTGCACCCCTGTACCCCCCAACCCCCCGCCCCCAGCGCCTGGTTCCCCGAGACCCTGCAAAACCCCCCGGGGCGCCGGGGCCTCTGCCAGACAGCGCTGCCCTGTGCCCGCGGGCACCGCGCTTGGCTCTTGGGTCTCGGAGGACTTTGTCCTAAGCAGAAAACAATTGGTTGTGAAATCTTGAGAACGTCTCCGTGGTCAGGCGCCTTCTGGAAGGAGAGACTCAGGTTGTTCAAAGACCTGGAGATGCTCTTGGGGCTGGGCCAGGGGGTGCGGGCCCTGGGGTCGGGGGAGGGAGAGCCTCACGGCCTGCTGGGGAGTCTTCTCAGCACAGAGCGTGGCGTCTCCCGGGGCACCCGCGCATCAGCCCCCAGCTTAGGGTAAAATTAAATATTGAAATGATTCACTGTCCCAGCGTTTTTATTTGCTAATGAAATTGGAGGCGCCCCTGCTCCGCCCTAATGAAATTGGAGGCGCCCCTGCTCCGCCCAGGGCTCC